AGAAGCACCGAGATTTCGCCGCTTTTTCGTCTGAAGCGAAAGTTCGCAATTTGATGGCCGAAATTCGCGTAATTTCGCTTATTTCGGCAAATTTCGTTTGCATTTCTTTTGCACAGTACTGTAATCATGAAAATTCTCGAAATAATGGGAAGCAAAGCTTTAAATGATAATATGACGCTTTCTTCTTTTTCTTTCCTACTTGGATTATCAACGCAAATCTTTCAAATTCGTTTAAGTTCGTTTTTGAAAAGTAGCCAGTCGTATTAGGTCAATTTTCACGTTACGTCACGGCGGCCTTATTGCTGGTCAAAAACAAGATCATTCTACCCTCTGGGAACTAAACTCCATTTTCATCTAAATTCTTTGAGAAAAATTGTATTGTCTTGACCACCGGCATGACCGCCTTGTTACGTGGTTGCAAATCAAGAATACATATTTTGAAATAAATGATTAATTGTCTGATTTGCTTTTACCTTTAAAGGTTCGGAACCTCGCGGCCCACATTCAGTTTGTCAAAAGTATATAGTGGAATAGGACCTGAAAATAAGGGAACAATTTACTGTGACAATAGTCCGATTCAGTGGCTCCTTCAACAACTTCGACGTCAATATCAACATTCTTAATGTCACATGGCACTCTTCACTCTTAATAATAATAATAACATAAAAAATTTATATTTATTAAGAAGAACAAATGTGGCGGCTAGAATTTTAATAGCCTCGCGACAAGAATTCCCATTTCAGTATCCCCTTAAATTACCTGACACTCGTAGTAAATCCTTTATAATCAAGTGCGTATTTTATTTTAGATTGGCGTGAGGATTTCAGGCGACTCAGACTACCTGGAGTTTCCGTTTAATGACTGGTTACCAGTGGACTATGTAGTAAGATTTCCAAGTAAGTTAATTCAAGGGTCAGAATTCTATCGCCGGGAACCTAAAACAGTTAGCAAATATCGACTGCATTCAGCTTCAATTAATTTTGCAAACCTTTCCTAGACTAGGTAACAATATCTCACAGACCCCAACTCCCCCCGGGAGGGAGGTACTCCCTATAATGGCCTTTATGAGGAGGCTGCGCCCAAAGGAATCTCTTCTTCGGGCATCAGGTATATGAAAAGGCAGCGGTTCCCTAGTTGAAGTACTAAAGGTAAGGGAAACCTGTTATTTTGATAAGAGAAAGTGTCCGTGGGTTGAATTTAATTGGAGAAAGTGTTAGGGCTTTCTTTCCCCAGACACAATGTAAACTGTCCGTAATAATAGGCGGGTGGCCGGGTGTCTGTAAAGCGGGATTCGACTGTCTATCAGATGCTGGATGGTTTCTTTCAACATTCAGACACAGTATTTTTAAAGCTCATATCCGTCTTATTATAATCACTTTCATCTTTTCGGTTCGAATTTTTACAGTTCGGGGGATGGCATCAATTAAAATTTTTGTAAATGTAGTTACAGATTACAGCTCTATTTGAAATGTTTTTAATCCCGAATGTAGTTCAAGGGCGATATTTCGAAGGGGAAATATCCAACCGATTCGGTCTCCCTAAGTATATAAGAGAATCCTTTTGTGGTACCGAAATCCAGACATTGTTTGTGGAATCTGGATTCCTGAGTTTTGGAATCCAGAACTCGACTCAAGGAATCAGGAATCCTGCTAACGATTGGAATCCAGAATCCAAGTTCCACTGACAAGGAATCCGAAATCCGGAAACCACAGCCTAGAGTCCAGTGTCCACGACTTCACTAGATTATCTTACATGGGGCAAATTCGGACAGATACTGAAACAGGTTAGTACTGGCCATGGTAAAAATAGCACCAACCTGGGCCAACATGAACAAATGCTGTGACAAATCAATTTAGAAGTGCACATAATCTGTATTGAGTACATCTTGTGACTCAGCAAAATAATTTATTATCCATTCAAAATATTCCCCCGATTCTGATTGGCTAAAAGCTCACGCATGATTCACTATAACCAGTTACTGATGACCAAATTTGGAAGAATTTTGTGTTTAACGAGGAAATGACGTCAAAAATGCAGCGTTCTTGCAGGTTAATGCATCGTTAACCGAGAAAACCTGGGGACGAGGTTGAGTTGTTTTGGTTGGGAAAACAAAAAATGGCGGACATTTCACTCGTTTCAAGGGTAAGAACTAAGCGAAATTATAGTAAAAACATGGCAAGAACGGCAAGAACACAACTCGAAGGGCGACATCTGCTATTTGGAGAATATTTGCGGAGCTGAACAACCCTAAACATGCACTATCGAAGGTGAACTTCGATGGAAGTAAGCATGTTTTAGCTTTGTTTTTAAACTAGGAATTATAAAACAATTATTGAACTCGGCTCTCGCATCATATGAAGAATCATGGAGATCTCGGAGGGTGTTATCCGCCTCGGCCTACGGCCACGACGGATAACACCCTCCTCGATCTCCATAATTCTTCATAAGATACTCAGCCTCATTCATTGATTGTTAATTATTTCACCCATTCAGGACCAATGTGTTGGGACGCAGGAACTACCTGTTATTACATAAACGATCCCTGTCCACCAGGCATGGAGAAATGTGTTGAGTACCAATGCACCCTTGAAACTAATAAGTGTTGCTGCGCGGGTAAGTTTTTCGCCATTCTTTTTAAGTCTTATAGAACAGGCCTGGTTCCTTGAAATGTGATTAACTTTATCCTAGAGTTAAAACTTATAAATTGTTCAGCCTTTAATCCGAGACAAAAAATAACAAGTTGTGATAACACAAAACGATTCTCTAAACAATTTATGGGAGAGTGTATAACACAGTCATGAAATATAATTTAATCGAGAGTTAGGGCTAATTGGCTTTTCAGGACCGAGCGCGGAATGTTAGAGTGAAAGTATTACAAAGTTAACCTAGAGATACAAGAATAGCAGGTAAAAACAATAATCTTCCAGAAAATTGTCCTTGGCATCCTTTGTGAGCACACAAATGGTCATGGGACCTGCAATTTTACAGCTGACGCTTTTCAATGGGCACCACTCCATAATGTTCATGATATCATAGGCTCTTATAGCCTCGCCTAACTCAACAATTTGCATCGTCTTGTAGAGTTTATTAGCTTTTATTACAGGCTCTATATTAAAAACCGAATATATTGACGTCTCCTCTCCCGATTTTTCTTGAGGGAGGGGGGACGTCTGTACACAGGCTATTAAAATATAATAAATTATTCATGTGTGACTGTGTTGAATCGCTTTCTTGTTTGTTTTCCAGTTTGAACAAAAGCCAGCCGAAAGGATATTTGCCAAGACAGTCACGTCAAGTCAAATGTATCCCATGTTTTCTATTTGTGGAATATATGGTTTTACGGAATATATAAGGGTCATTGTAAACCGAGGTAACAAATGTTTTGAGTTGGACAGAAAGTATTAAAACTGCAGTCAACTTGATCGAAACTGTTGTTGTTCTAGCTCTCTGAAAACTGATATTCCTACCGTATGTAAGCTTGATATCCCGTAAAATTTCGAAAATAAGCCTCTCCAAATATAAGGCCCCCGAGGGTTGTACTTGGAAATTGTCCTCAAATACAAAGCAAAACAAAGCAAAAACGGTAAATCTCCTCCCAACTCTAATGCTAGCCCAATCGATTTTGAAACGCAAATTTCCCACCGTACATAAGCCCCTACGAATATACGCCCCTCAAAAAGGGCCTTTGGAAAAAAAAAAGCCCCAGGTCTTATTTTCGGAATTTTACGGTATTTCTATCGGAACTAAACGTGTAAGCTTGATTTGAATCATGGGATATTGTAAGAGCATGCCGGCGGATTATCATGGCGTTTCGAGTTAAGTTTGCTTGTTGAGTTTGATTTTGTGTATCCATTACCATCTGTTGGGAATCTCTACAATGATGGCCAAAATCGAAATTCAACCCAGTTTTCAAATTTCCTTTTCTAAATGCTGAAAAACACAAAGTTTAAATTGAAGATACTGCCAAAGAGGTTTCATCTGAATGGTAGCAGTGATTGTGTGGCGTAACACTCGCGCAGCAATCTCGGAAGGTATTGTTGGTGGTTTTGAGTTAACTGTTCTTCAAACAAATTTGAAAGAATGACGCGAAAGGCCATAGACGTATGTTTGTGAGTGCGAAAAGAAAAAACAAGAAAAGTAGGTTTGACAGCTTCAACGTCAGGAACAGTGTATTGATCATATCCCATACTACCTTTCAGGATTGTCGAGTGCGCTTTTCTTCGCGACAACCTTTCTCGAAATAGCTGTATCGAACGTAGGCTGTTATGTTATTCTTGTGTCAACTCGGCTACACCCGTGAAATAGGGAAGGGGAAAAACCTTGCAGAACCCGGGATAGGGATACTTTCTTCACATGTCGCACAACAAAAACAAGACGGCTACTTTAACAGGTTGAAATACAGTCAGGCAACAACTGCTTTTATTATAAAACATATATCGTAAAAATAGTATATTACTTGTTAACGTCTGTATCTGAATGCAAACATGTTACTTTAATACCGACCTTTCCGCAATGGTTCTTGACGGCTTGTCAAAAAGCACCTAAGGTGATTCCCTAGTAAAAGAACCTAACATAGATTTTAGATGAAACTTGGTACACTGATGTAACAAGTCAAGAAGATGATAAAAAAGTAATAAAAAGTGGGGGTCACCGTGCTCGTTTTGACGTCACAATGCTGACAAATACGGCTATTTTGGACCCTTTGACAAAAACCGCGCGCAGCCCAAAACTAGACAAAAAGGAAAGATTTTTTCAATGATGCATGTGGTATCGCACAGAATTTGACTTTAATGTATTGTTTATCCACTTACGTACCATAAAAATGCCTTTTAATGCCCTTGTTTTTACTTTACGCTCCAAAGTAGAATTAAATTGGACACGCGCTATTCGACCCGTGATAGCTCAATCCGTACAATTTAGTAAAATTGCCAAAAAACTGAACATAGATTTGTGCCAATTTTTTTCTCATCGAAAGGAAGCACTGTCCTTATTAAAATCATGAAATAAAAAATGGGGGTCACCGTACTCGTTTTTGCGGTAGAGCTGCAGAAAGTGCGCACCAAATGCATTTTCCCCGATTTTTGAGAGAGGACTGGGGCGAGTTTCAAAATAGAATGTATGTGAAAGGGGGAAGAAAGTATTAAAAAATCCGTTTTTACAGAATTTACATCGAGATATCAAATTTAGGACACAATGTGATAAAGAAAGCGTTTAAATGAAAATCAAAGTGAATAAGCACAAATTAAAAATCCGCTATCGAGGTTCTCCGTGAGGAAGTCGAACTCAGCAACACGCGTACTGCTTACATTATGCACATTCCCACCACATTGAGTCTCACCTCGGCAAGAAACAACCGCAAGCAAAAATTGCAATAGCGTTTCTCTTCGGTCAACTTCATTTTAATAATGTTACTTCACATGCTGTTTTTTACGGAGGCCATCTTGTTATGCGCAGTGAGAGATGCGCAATGCAAAATCAGGGAATCACCTTAACTACTGCTTGCTTCAAACAAACTTTGAGGATGATGTTCCGCAACATCAACAAATATGACCTTGTGCCATTATTTTTTTTCTTTAACTATACTCTTGTCTTCTAACTTTCACTGAAAACTTTTCTGTAAAAATCTTGAACGTAATTTACATAATGCATTGATTATTAAAAACTCTAATGATCCCCCAATTGGCCAATTGATTTCCCAATAAATTTTTTGAACAACAACTTGGAAAAAAAACTATGTAATAAGAGGATTTGGGAGTGATATGCTTCTGGTCAGACGGACGCAGATCTATGGATCGGGCGCTTGAAAGTTTAAGGTTGTCTGTCCTCGTTCGGGATCTTGTAATTTGAATATCTTTACTCTTTTACTCTGTCCTATGGAACTGAAAATAAAAAAGTTGTTGATTAACAGGTAACAATCGTCCCTAAAGCAACAGCCATATGAAACAATCAAAATAGTATTGGAAATTAAGCAGTACCGCTAATTGTCACAAGTATATTCGCATGCGCATAGACTACGAGCAGTCTCTCTTTTTCCTTAGTCCGTCAGGTGAAACGCGCGAGACAAAATGACCACACGCGTGACTGCTCGCATTCTACATGTGTATGGTAACACTGCCTCTTTACGTCTGTTTTTTTCACTAAGCTGATTTAGTATTTGTTTCTTACATTCTCTGCGAAAAAAAGGCAAATGATAAACTTCTGAAGCTGTGAGAAGAACGCAAGCAACACAAGATGGCTTTTCGATTTCACCGCTAAGACATTGCACCTATAAAGCTATCTTCGACTACAACACGAAATGCATTTTATTTGAATTCTGCTTTCTCCTGCCTGTTACTCAACTAACATCTCTGTCTGACTATTTCTATGTACGGTTTGTCTGCACCTTAGTTATCAATTGTCTACAGACGAACCCCGTTAATACGGACACTTGCGAGACTGGGTGGCAAGAGTTGTTTTCCTCATACTAATACTTCTAGTTTTAGGCGGCCGTTGCAATCTCTACTTTTGAAATATAAGGCTGAAAATTAACAGGCTACCTAATTTTAATATGCTCTTTCAGCTCGTGCTAACAAAATTTTCAAAAGCGAACTGATTTCATGTTTACCGAAAGTTGATCATGTGATCAACTAATTCGAAAGGCCTATTGACTGTTGTCAAAAAAAAGTGTTATCCGCTGACCAGTGTCACAGACTGCATCGCGGGCTTACGTGTAAATTCATAGAAGGGACGTGTCTTTTATGTTATCCACTGACCAGTTATTGGTTTTTCATTGATCGCGGGCTCAGGTCAGAATTTCTTATTGACAAAGAAACTCGATTGCATCGCTAGGTTCGTTTCGGTTCAGTAAGCACGACCTCGAATGACCTCTTACGAGCGGATGTTGAAAATTACCTCCGGTGTTTTTTATTGTACAGTCGAACCCCTAATAGTGGCCACCTCTCCAGAACGCCAAGTAATTTTTTGTCCCCGTGGATAATCCACACATTGCCTCTTGTTTAAACCTCTCAACAACAGCCACCTCCCTCAAACGGCAGCGACCACAAAAGTGTGTCCCCTACTGTCAAAATAACCTCTCGACAACGGCCAGAAAAATAAGCAACTGATGAAAAGTCAAGACCGGCCATGAAATGGGATTTGCACGGCGCGTTGATGATTAATCGCCGCAATCCTACTTCGATTTTTTTTTTATTTATCTGCTGCAGTAAGCATAAATTGTTTACGCTACTTAAAGCCAATGCTGCCAACCTTGCTCGTTTCGTCATGTTAACATTTTGATTCAAAACATTATTCGAATTTATTTTGTATATTTTATCTCTACATGTTATTTATCATTGGATTATTACCATCAAGGGATACAGCAAGCATGAGCTTAGCATGATCAACATGTTGTACTCCCTCAAATAATTTGGTCACATTTACACCCCTACCTCCCCATAGCGGCCAACTATCCAGAACAGCTACTTTCTTCAGTCCCCAAGGTGGCCTTTGTGGAGAGGTTCGACTGTATTCATTTTAAGAATAGCGCTAAACAGGCCATATCATATATAACTTATTAACTTCTTCAGTTCGGTCCTTACAGGGAAATCTCAGACCTCGGCCTTGGCTAATAAGTAGTATATAACAATGACATTTCACGCCGGTCACCCACCTCATGTCCTGAGGAGTAAGAAGGATAAATTGCCTTTCTTGTTGTTCTTTGGCCACCTTTAACATCATTTCCATGCTAATTCGCCTGTTTACCATGTCCTACCAAAGACAAAAAAGACATTAAGACATCCTGACAAGCTCGGAGGTTACAGTTTAGTTTTACGTTGTTCATGAAAGAGAGCTCTTTTCTATCACGTCACGTCAAAAATTAGTGCATTTTCCCCTCTTCCCCCATTTTTCCAAACCCACCGAAAGTTGAAAAAAGCGGCCGGTCTCCAGAAAGAGTTTGCCCAATTTGTAAAATAGAAATGGAGGACCAATTCCATTTTCCAAATATATGCCCTGCTTACCAGGAAAAAAGACGTTCGTTACTAGATTATTTGGGAAAACAATACAGGATAAAAATAAGCAGAATGTCACGTAACAAAATATTCATGTTTCTAATAAACCCCGCTAGCGGAAATGCTAAAATACAAAAACTAATAGCAAAACATATATTCGAATGCTTTGAAAAAAGGAAAGGGGATGACGGAAAAAAGTAAATACTCTAAGACTTAATTAATAACTTATTAGCCATATATGGTACGGAATTTTTAGAGCTTCGAGGCGAACAAACATGTTTGAAAAACTGTTCGGCTAACAAGCTGTCACTTGCAATCCGTTTCAATCTTCTTCAAGTTTGTTTTTTTTGTGCCTCCTTTTGAATTTGCTGTGTTATTTATACTTTTTTTATGTTTGAACCAGTTTTTTAAGTTCCACCAAGTTTGGAGTCAGTTCCCACTAAAGAAATTTGGATAAATGTTCTGACACAGTTCCTTTAATGTCCTAATAACCGAACCCAACTCCCTATCGTACTAACCATGAAGACGTCAAATTCGTCAAGACATCTAAAAGGTGATTCCATTGCCTCCCACAAAGCCATAATGAACGATACGGTAGAAAAGGATCGCTCGCCACCAGAAAGCGAGCGCGTATCCTTGGCAACACGTTTGGTGCCACTCTCGACGTTCACCTGGAAAAGTTAACACTCACTAGTTATCACAACATCGGCCAGACGTTTCAAGAAAAGTAACATGCCCAGACTTGCCCAATTGAAACAAGATAAATTCTGGCCATTCTCAATGTTACCACGACCGAAAAGTAATCAGAGACGAAAACAAAATCAAACAAAATGTACATACGCAAACTACCCTCATGCACCTCGCCTTAAAACCGAGTCTAACAAATGTTCCCTATATCCTTGAGCGATCAGTGGATGGATGAAGTCTCTGATCTTTCACTCTGTTTACGACTTAAACACTCCGCCAATACTCAGTTCTCTAGTAGAGCAAAGGCCAAAGGAGATACAACTTAACTGATACGATCTCTTGTCGCCCTCGATGAACCCAACTATATTGCCTTTGCTTTCATTTTCCCTAGTGTATAAAATTAATCAAATTTTGTCGAAAGACTTCCATTTTCCCGAAAGAGGCAAAGGTTACATACTGGACAACACAGACTTTGCATCTAGCTAGAAACGGGCAACTGCACGATGCAAACAAAGATCTACAACAAGGTGGTTTCCCAATTCGAAACCCGAAAAGAGTTTGGTAAAAGCTTCATAGGCAATATGGCAGACAATGCCAATTGCCCCAACAAGCATCTCCGTACGACGTGCAAGTAGGTGCTACAACGATGCTGTACCGAAGCAAGGTTTCTATGTACGCGTGTGAAGGCAAAGGAGTTTCGACCACAACAGCTGAGGTGCGACCCCTCTGAAAGTGGTCTGTACAAAGGCAAAGGTCTGTCTGTAGTTTAACTGCTTACGAGGAAATGCATAGCTCTTGCGAACAGCTTGGACTCCTGTTTCCTTCTTCCAGACTGGCCACAAATGAAAATCTACATGGCTTAGGGTGCCCGTAAGAAAACGGGAAAAATCCATGGCGTCGTTGCTACTTTAAAAAAACTGTGGCGCGACAGAAAAAGGCCTACAATGAGCCATAGAATGGATGGCTGGGAATTTGGCCTTTGTCGTTGCCCGATCTTTGTTGCGGAGACTTTGAAAGTGGACCTAGAGGAAGAAGTTTGTCAAAGTTTCGTTACCACACCAAGAAAGCACCGACGATCCTCACATCTAGCAGGACACCAAGCCAGATTCACCAAAACGTACTACACCCTAGCGATTTTCTGACGCCAACCGAAATGTCGAGTGGGTCTGGCAAACAAAGAAAACCCATAGGTGTCGAGAAACCTTTTACAGCTGGAGGAGGGTCCTGAAAACACCGAAAAACGTGACCCTATCCATTTTGTTGGTGTGCAAATGAAACCTTTCGGATGAGATTGTTTAAGGCTAGCGAGGACACAAGAATTCGGGAAAAGGCAACCACAAGAAACAAACAAATACTCTTGCAAAAAAGAGAGTTGGAAGAGATGCAGGACACGCCGCGTCCGGGAAAAACCGTTTTGGCCGAACAGAAAAATGGAAGAAGGTCGCCCAATTCATGCCTAATGCCCAAAACCTTTGACACTTTCCCAAAAAATCCTTGGATACACACCAGCAAGATACAATCCAATGGCTGTTTTGGAATGAGAAGGCGAGACAGGGTGTGTTTCTGCAACAAGTCACCTCAAAAATTCTAGAGGAAAGCAGATACATTCCAAATGCTGCGCATTTGTCTTTCTTGCCAACCCCTTAAAACAGAACTACAAATGGGAATAGAACCACAAAAAACCTTCTATACAACCGATGGTTCTTGGATCGATTGGAATCCCATTGCCCTAGAAAAGACACCAAACACACCTTTTGGAAAGGCTGAAAAAAATGCTCCAAAAGGTGGATGACCAAAGTCTACTACTCAACGAATATCTCGGAAGCAAAAGAAGGTTCCAAAAGGAGGAATTCGAGAAATGCGAGCCATCACAACCCAAGAAGAAATCGCAAGATTTGCAACGAAGTGGTCTCACAAAAAATCATATCAAGGAATCGATCAAATAATGTTGAATCTTTTACCACTGGACAAGCAAAACAAGCCGAAGACTGATTGCAATGTACCAGATTGGGGGCACTTCCTACAAAAAGAGGCAAGAGGTACACAAAAACAATAGTATCAAAGGCATCCAAGGACCGCTTTTCTGCCGACTAGGCAAAGAAAAGGCAATACCCGCAAAGAAGCTCGGGAATGGCTAAACGGATACAGCTGCACGGCCCTGTCCTTTCCTTTTGCTGTTATTGTCTTTTCTTTGCCCAGTCGGTAAAAAAGCAGTCCCTCGATGTCTTTGATATTATTTTTGTCTACCTCTTGTTGCAGGAAGTGCCCCCAATCTGGTAAATTGCAATCAGTTTTCGGCTCGTTTTGCTCGTCCAGTGGCAAAAGATACAACATTAGACCAATTCCTTGATATAATTTTTTGCGAGACAAGGTAGATGCCTTTGGGCAACTTAGGGCTCAAAATAACGGCCGGTCAACGGACAATGTCCGGCCTGATCGTGGACTTGACCGGTCAAACTCTCGTCTTGCCGGTCATTTTTGGATGCGAACATGTTATAATATTTTCCATATAGCTGTCGCTTAATGCGTTTTGCTCTATAACGCTGTAATGATTTGTTTTTTCTTTGGCTTTTTTGCTGCTTTGCACTAAACCCTTTACAGAAAAGGAACGCTCCAATAAATTTCATTTAAAATCGTCATGTAATGAAACGCAACAAAGCGAAACAACAACAAACTTAGTTGTGGAGTAACGCAACGATGCAGCAGGTCGTACTGTACATTCTGCTTTGCTGTGATCAGTAATGTGACCTTCTTTGGGAAAACATACACTAAATAATCCGTTACTTGTTAGAAAACTAAAGGATAGCTAACAGTTTTTGTCCATCAAACGTTTCACATCTACCTGTAAGAGGATTGTGAAAATCACCTTCGACGGAATTCGGGAAAATCGATCGCTCGTCCTGTACTGTTTCTCCGGAGATAAAATTCAGTGCATCGATTAATTATAATACTTTCTTTATGTTGCACATGAATCTCGTTTGCGGACTCGATTCCAGAATTGTCTGATAAAACCAATTAATATAAGCGAATCGAGGACGAACGTCGCCTATCTCGGCGCTTCAAATCCTCCTTCTTGTAAACAGCTTTATGCAAATTTCTGTTGACGTTAATGAGCCCTTCGCGATAGAGTGTTGCGCGACGACCCAAACGAAAGCTCTGCTGTATATTTATTGACTTCTGATGATAAATACGCTGTTTGTGGAACAAATTTCTCGCCAAATCAACTTCTTTGCTGGAAATATTTGGCGACGTTTCTTCTTTATGGAGGAGACTTTTGATCACGTACCGGCCAACGAAAAAGATCAAGTTTCACTGATATAGAGATATAGGACAAACCTTGGAGACTTCAGGCACCACCGTAACGATGATACTCAAGGTATATATAAACGGACATGAAAAGGGGCGAAAATTGCGGAAAGCAAATTAACTCAACAACGTGTGAACGAATTTTTCACCAACTTGCCGCCAAAAACCTGAACGCCAGTGCAGTACAACGATCTATTGCAAGCGTAATTCGATAATCCGTAGGTAAAAAAAAAAATTATAGTATTCATCATTTGACCGGCCAAAATCGGGGTTTGTCCGGGCTAAAAAATATTTGGCCGGTCATCATGACCGGCGACCTGTTGTCCGTTATTTTGAGCCCTGCAGTGAACTCCTGCGTTTCTTCTATTTCTAGGGTTGTGATGGGCGCATTTCTCGAGTTCTTTTGGAGCCTTCTCTTTCCTTCGAGGTATTCGTTGAGGAGTTGACTTTGGTCTTTTACCTTTTCAATATTCTTTGCACGCTTTCAAAAAGGTTTGGGGTGGGTTTTTATTCCACAGCGATGGGATTCAATTTGATGCGAAAACCATCGGTTGTATAGAAGGTTTTTTGTGGTGATATTCCGATTTGTAGTTCTATTTTGTCGGTTGACAGGAAAGACAGATCACTGCGCGTTTAGAATATATCTTTACTCTCCACTAGAATTTTTGTGACGTGACTTGTTGCAAAAACACCCATTGTCCCTCCCTCTCATTCCAAAACAACCATTGGATCTTACCTTGCTGGTTTGTATTCAAGGATTTTCCATTGGGTGTCTGAAAAGTGTCAAAGGTTTTGGACATCGGGCGTATTTTTATTTTTGTTTGGTCAAAACGGTTTTTCGCAGACGCGGCTTGTTCTGTATCTTTTCCCGCTCTCACTTTTTAAAGACTATTTGTTTCTTGTGGTTGCTTTTTTTCGAATTCCTGTGTCCAATCGACCCTTTGCTCACTTTCAAACATCTCTTTAAAAAGAAGGTTTCATTTGCTCGTCAACAAGGTGGATAGGTCACGTTTTTCGGTGATTTCAAGAACCTCCTTCAGCTGGCACAAAGGTTTCTCGACACCTATGGGTTTTCTTCGATGGCCAGACCCACTCGACATTTCGCTTGGAGGTAGAATATCGCTAGGGTTTAGTGCGTGTTGGTGGATCTGGGTTGGTTTCTTGCTCGATGTGAGTATTGCTGGTACTTTTTTGGTGTAGCGGCGCAGCCTTGACAAAACTTATTCCTCTTGGCTCACTTCTAAAATCTCCGCAATAAAGAAAGGGCAACGAAAAAGGCCAAAATCCCCATACATCCATTCTACAGCTCTTAGGGGGCCTTTTTCTATCTAGACACAATTTTCAATGAGTAGCAATGACACCTTGGATTTTTCATGTTTTCATACGGTCACCCAAGCCATGTAAATTTTGTTTTGCGGCCAGTCTGCAAGAAGGAAGGCCCAAGCTGTTTGGTAGAGTTATCTATTGCCTCATGGGTAGTTGCACTACAGACAGACATTTGCCTTGTGTAGACCAACTCCAGAGGGATCGCACCTCGGCTAAATAAATAAATAAATAAAGACCGTTTATTAACCTCATTGCAGTAAATTACACCATATTCTAAAATAGGTCGGAAAATTGTCAAGCACACCCTCAAAGTCGAATCACTAGCTACTCCTACTCTCTCAAGAATTCTCAGGGAGTAGAGATGCTTAGAAGCCTTCTTAGAAATGTACTCATTGTGATGGACCCACCTAAGATCATCACTTATAATTACCACAAGACGTTTGTAAGTATTGACCCACTCCACCGTGTTACAACCGATAACAATTGATCTTGAAGAGAAATTATGATTATGCATTTCGGTTGATAGCCTCTCGCCTTCACACACATACATAGCAAACTCGATTCTGGTACAGCCTCGTTCTTACACCTTGGGGTACTCGAATGTCGTATGAAGATGCTTGTTGCGGGCAGTTGGCATTGTCTGCCATATGGCCACTGAAGCTTCCCAAACCTCTCCGGGTTTCGAACTGCGAGACCAATTTGTTGTAGCTTTTTGTTTGCATCGTCCAGATGCAAACATGGTCTCCAATGCTGCCTGTGTTGTCCAGTATGTAACCTTTGCCTTCTTCGGGAACATGGAAGACTTCCTGCGATCCAAATCCTTTTCCCATCATGTGTGTTACAAGCGCTTGTCTATCCAGTGTACCCAAAAAGTCCTTTGGTGGTCAATGTGTACAGCCTGTAGCCTCAAGATTCTAAACGTCTTTTGAACTGTGGCAAAAACTTCCTGTAGTCCATGAATGTCGTTTTCAGAAACATCGAGCTTTGGGACGAAGTAGGTGCGTTCGATGGCATCTTGGTAGAGTTCCAGACATTGGTCTTTGCTCTTTGATCTGTCTGCTTTTCTACTTCTTGTATTCTTTCTCTAAACCATCCTCTTTAGCGCAAGCACTTTGTGGACAGTTTTTAGGTCTGGTCTTTTGTTTGTTTGCTGGCTTCCTTTTGCACAATCCGAAATCCTTCCAAAGTCTTTGGGTATGCGGAAATCCAACTGTTTCCTTATTTCTAATATTTTGTCCCTATGCATGAGCCGTATACGTAGATATATCCTCTTTAAAGAACAAGCAGAGCACCCAAGGGTTACAGGTTGGTTTTCCGTTGTGACCGTGCAGGTAGTCCACTCTCCAAATGTCCGTTATAAGCTTGATTTCAAAGGCGTTCTCCAGCAAAATGTGCCTTGCCAATTTTTCTCTCGGTTGGAAGACTCACGCCTGCCTTGTTTTTTATTTATATGTAATTGCTGCCTTCGCACCATTATTAAATATTCTTACAGTTAACTAAAATATGCAAGTTATGAATCAGAATTGAACCAACCTGAAGTGCAAGAGATTCATCGTTATGATTGAAGACCATTTTGCCATTGTAACCTCTCTGAGAAAGCATCATTTGGAAAAAGTACTTGGCACGTATAGCAATGTAGTGACGGTAATTGATAAACGCTTTCGCCCTTTCTTCCATTACTGCCTTTAAACGCTGCAATTCACAACAAGTGTACGTTATTTACCATCTGACCTGGTGTACATTAGTTTGGTCTTTAAAATGAGAAAACGTAGGAAGAAATAATCCTTGCCAAAGAAGGGTTATTCAACATTAAGGCAAGAGAAATACTTACCTTGCTATATCGTTTTAAGTTCTTCAATGAATCCATAATGCTATCATACCGCGTCTTAGCTTCGAAGTATTCTCTTGTGATATCTTCATGTTTCCCTTTGCTAGATAGAGACACGCAGCTTTCTTTCAGTTATACACTGGATTAAAGGCACATTAGCGCCTTTCTCTCTTTGTCTAATTGAGGGCCAGGTTATTTGTGACTCTACTTCTTTGGGCTTTGGATCAATTCCTAGCGTGTTACAATTGAACCTAAACCTCTTTGACAGAACTTTTGAATAGTGATATTCTTTCTAAGGTTTTAACAAAACAAAATTTGCTTTCATTGTGAATTTTTTGTTTGGTCACTATAACGAGTTAAAAGATCAAGTGCTTACTATTTCAAAACAGACTTAACGAGTGCCGAGCAGATCATGCAAAGTCAAGAAGACCTGTACGACCATCACATCAAAAAATCACAAGAGCTAATAAGGTTAAACTAACAATGAACTTACTTTTTTTCTTCTGTCTGTATTCGCCTTGTTTTTTGGATGATTTCAGATTCTAAGTTTTTGACAGTTCTCCTGGTATTTACTCGATCACAAAATTGACAGGCTTGCTCGGTCTTTTCCTGCAAAAGGAATAAGGAAATACCTCTTAACCTTATCTTGGAAGCTACTGTAACAGCAAAACTGATTTATGTTTGTAGTGAAGAAGTCACACAAGTCTCACTCGTTTTCCATGGAAAAATTATCAGCGTGTCCAATTTCCTTACATCTAAGTTAAATAAAGGCACCACCAATCACGTTCTCGTATTTAGCACTGCCTGCTTTCAAATTAGCAGCCAGCCATAGAGATATCCCAATAACTGTTTCCTGTATTAATACTTCTGAGTGGAGAATATACTGCGATCTCGATGGGATTTACTTTCACAAGTCGTGGACTATATAACAAAACTGAAAAAAAATTCTGGTCAATTTTGTTTCCATGAAACCTATTTTTTTCGGAAACAACAGTTTTCCTGAGGGTCTAGTCATTAGATGACTTAATTAATTGTCATAGGCGACTCAGGAAACAATCCGAGTACTACCAGTTAAAAAGGAGTATATTTTCAGGCATCCCCTCAACTTTCCACAAAGGCTTTTACGCTACACAGTAGTTCCCTACAAAAAGTAAATCGAGCAGAGGTTGCAGGTTTGATTCGATCCCATGGTTAGGCGTTAGGAAAATACTCAGGATTAAGGAGAGGAGGTTAAGAAGGTGAGGACGGAGACACTACTGTTTCCCTGCCAATGACTAGAATTTTACAGGGCTTGGATGACCTCGCACAAATGGTGCTCCCTTAGGCAGCAAGAAAGGTAAAATCAGTGTCTTCAATCATTATACCATGCTAAATACAATGAAAAATTGGTTTTAACAGAAGAAAACTCACCTGAACAAGTCTCTTCATATTCTCATGCTCTTTTTCAGCTTTCTTGATCAAATTCTGCAGCTCCCTCAGCCGGTTCTCATAGTGCTTTCTGTGGCCCTTTTGTGTTTCAATCTGAACCTCAATTTCATGTTGCTGGCTCTGTGGTCAAAAACGTTATTCTGTAACTTGCCTTAAGAGTGGCATTACAACGCATTTAAGCGATATAAACAAGAGAACAGCAAATAGAAGGGAGAAAAACCGTAATGTGGAAAAGTTAAAATGTCACTACTCTCGGTTAAACCGTCCCTTATTACTTGTAAGACTTGACATTTTCCTTCTCCACTGTACGGACGAGGCAACGAAAAGATAATATATAGATTTAGCCAGGGCTAAAAGCGAAGCTCCCGTTAATAAATTCACAATTTAAATCAAACAATAAACTTGTAATCCACAGATCAGGGCACATTCATTTGACTTTTGAAGACTGAGTAATTTTAGAGAAAAATCAGAATTTGACCGTCCAAGAGTGAAACAAATTTTACATCGAGTTATTAAATAGTCTTATTTGTACACCGAAAAATAGCAATCATGTTCGATCACAGTAGATTAGGCTTGGAAAACAAAATTAATAGACCTATTCGTGTATTGTATTTGCATTAGCTGTTGCATCATAATGTGGCATTCACCAGTCTCTCCAACACTGCTCCGTTAGAGAGACTATGGATAATTGGACAACCCCGAAATTTAATTTTAAGAAACACATGCGCCACGATAGTCCTTGGTGGCAGCCAATTTACACGTTGCATTCCTCGGTCTAAAAGAGAGGCCAAAATAAAAAATCAGGCTGGATTTTTTGTGTTCGAAAAGTTTAGTTTACTAGTAAATCTTGGCGACGAATCTCAGTGGTGGCGTGTAAACCAGCCTTTTAAACATACTTTTTCTCATCACGTCTCAGGCAAACAGTACTATAATGCCCTTTTTTTTATCATACAGACCTTGGGCAGAATTTGTTCTTTTTTGCCCTATTTAAACCTATAATTCTGCAGTTTTTCACAATTTTGCAAGAGAAGTTGCACTCATTCAATATCCACGACGATCAAAGCACGCGCTTCCTTTGCACAACAAATTATAGCATTGAATTATAAAACGTTTTCATGAAGAGAATTCTATAAAGCCGGGACTTTTCTGTTAGAAAAATCTGGTCCTGTGTGATATGCAGGGTAATAATTATGGGCTTTTAATGAAAACGATAAAAAAAAAAATTCCCAAAATCACTTTTCGGCCAGCCGGACGGGTTCTCACTTTTGACAGGCAACAAATTTGCAGTGCGATTAACAGAGTTACCATTTACGCTTCAACATGATAGAGAAATTGTTATGTTTAGGTTTTATTTCCCTTTATTCATTAAACTGTGTATGATTTTGTTATGTGTAATCTTTAAAAGCGAGTGATATTTACGCGCGGCGTTTTGAGTATTCCTGCATGCGATGTTTATGTTCGACTGTAAACAACCGGTGCAGCGATGAAAATTGCGAGAGGGACTACTAACAATCAATAAAATAAATTTAATTCGGTGAAACATGTACAGAGACAATAATTTTCATTCACAAAGAGAAGTATTGAGAGTAAAGTGTCTCAGAAAATCATGAGTCAGGTAAGCATAAGCTTATTTATGTTTTAAGCCTGCTTCCCGGTGTTCGCTCTCTTTCAAGATGAACTCGAGGCAAGAAAATCGTTCAGAGCTTTCTGCTTACAGCCAAACTCATAACTAAATAATCTTCGGAACCTTTTCTTTGAATTTGCGGGTCAAAAAATGTCTGAAGGCTTTTTAAACCTGATACTATTGTAGGTTAGATCATTGCTCGTTTATAAACTTAAGCCGCCTAAACCATACGCTCGACTTCAGAAAACCGAAAAAAAACACATCAAAGATAATAATTGCTCAGGCTTACCAGTCGAGATGCTGCTTCTGAAGGTCATCAAGTGTTCCAGAATCGCTTGAGACTTTTCAACCCTCTTACGCCTCAAGCAAGGGCAAGTGAGTAAGCTCATTTTTGAAAACGATGCCATCCGAAATCGGATTTCCAATGACTTTGACAAACGGTGCATTTGTCAACAAAAAGCGCAATAAACAAACCAGCCACGAATTACAGAACAATCTTGATAGCAGCTGTATTTCATTTTGTACACCAAGTAGAAAAAGACAGTTTAAAACATCACAAGATGACACAAAACCCTGTCAGCTCCAGCTATCAGTAAGCAAGTCTCCAGACGGTGCATAAATTTTCCGCATAAACTCACCTGTCAAATTTTGACCAATCAGAACATAAAAATTGGACGTAGAGCGGGACCAACGCGTGGCAGTGAGAAAAGTCAAAAGCGATTGCCTTCCCTGCATGTAAATGTAAAAGCCGGTTGAATTTTCGTGTCCGAGGTCAGTTCGAAATCAACATTTTAAAAGTGCGGCTCATGAAACACGAGTTACTTCATATGCATTTTAAAAAAATTGAACTTGAGCCTGCGATCATTTGAAAAGTAGCAACTTGTCAGCGGATACCTTCAAAAAATTACTCGAACACAGAGGGTTGATACCTGAACCCACGATACGGTCAGGCGATACTGGTCATCAGAAACACTATTTTGACAGCTGTCAATTAATCAAAACATGGATGTACAGGTTGCAGGCTCCCAAACTAGCTAGAAAGTGTGAGATTAAACATTGGTATGCCTGTGGTGCGGACGAACGGAAGGTCGGGTGGTCGGTGTACGGTCACGTGATTGCCGAATTTTCTAGGATGGATAGATTTTCTATAAAGCTATGGGGCTTCGAATTGAGCCCGTGATCAAATAAAATATCAGCGCGAAACTTTTAACACTACGTGACCTCAATGGATAGAAAAATGAGCCCGCGACACACTCAAGTGATGATGGTCAGCGTATACTCTAGTTTGACAGCTGTCAATTAACCTTCATTAGAATGGCGAATATTCGAATTAGCAGACTACGAGTGTGAGTAGGACATATCCGTCCGGCATGTGGTGGAAAATGCTAGATCGTGTACCTGAGCGAACCTGAGCCGACGTTATTAGTTTTTTGATAGTGGTCTGCACATGTCCCATTTTGACAGCTGTCAGTTGACCTTAATTTGGCTTGCCAATGTAACTTTAAACGACTGTCAGCCAACTGACAGCCTTGCCCGGCGTAGTTTCGTTTTCATGTTGAATTGGTAAGTGTGACATATTATATCAGCTTATATATGGGTGCAAAACGACTGGTCTTTTCTCTGAGCCCGCGAGACGGTCAAGTGATAATTGTCAGCGGATGTCTGATTTTGACAGCCGTCAATCTAATCGTACTCATACGGATGGCTTACATAACTAAGAGGCTAGTCAAGTTGTGCAAGATCTATTGTGACATTTGACATCGCTTACATGAAGCGTGTGTACGGGTGGGCGGGCGGGCGGCGTACTCTACGTCATAACCAAATTTTCTCGGATGGATAGTTTACCAAATTTTCTTACCCATGGTGCTGCGCTGCGCGCGCGCGGGAGCTCCGCTACTAATAATACAAAGAGACCTTAAGATCGAAGTTTGGTCATTTTACTGCAAACGACAAACTGCGGTTGCGGTTAACGGTTTCACTTTACCCGTCTGCCCACATTTGGGACTTAGGTTCGCAGGTGGTAGCTCGGGGATGCCATGTTTGTTTTCATTCATCCACTAACTTCTATTTTAGCTGAGAAATTGTCTTCAAAATTACTTTATTTTAAACAAAAGTTGATAATAAATAAGAAAAAGAGTTCTATAAAGTCCTATTTCTTCTCAAACGTGGGAATGTCTGGAATGTGATGTTTTCGGGAGCCAAACACCTTGCGGCAAATGACGTACCTCTGGAGCGTGGTCTAGCCGTACAAACGTGAACGTAAAACCGCAAACCTGACGGCAAGGCCCTGATCACGTGACTTCTTGACGTTCGCGGTTCGCGGGAAATGCCAAAAACCTCAATCTTATGGTCTCTCATATCTTTTGGTTCTCTAAAAGGTTCCATACTTTTATACAGTGTATTTTAAGTAATACGTTAAATATTTCCATCGAATTCTGAAGACTGTATACGATTAGCAATTGCATGACATGTAGTTGTTTGCACAAACAAATACCTACGCAAACGTTTCCACCACCGACTCCTACCTGCCCCCCACACCTTTTCAAAACAAAATGAAAACGAAAATGAAAAGAAAGCAAATCCCAAAGAAGAGTTTTCTTTTATAAAAACAATCACAAGCGTGGGCGGATAAAGGTAGTAACACATTAAGCAGAGCAATAGTGTCCGTTGTGAACAATAATGGAACAGCAAACATGTTATACACAGAGGAGGCTGCGTTGCTAAGTGGTTAGAGCTGGGTTTGCAGAAACTTAGTAACTCTCTCTTAACGGGACACCTCTCTAAGATGGACAAGGGACACTTTTGCAACCATCAAACGACAATTAGGAAGTGCGTTATGTAGTGAAAAATTCCTCAAAACGGAAATGTAGGTGCTTTGCATGACAGTACATTGCGAAATGTTTGATATTTCGTATTCTTACTCCATTGCACAATGAGAAAATAATTCCACTTTCTGTTACAATGTTCCAGTTTTAGCTGCCTTGTACAAGTTAAAAAGACGTGTATTCATTGCAAATATTTTCAGCTTTAAAATTACTATTGTCGCGCTGCCTCGAATCCCTATAAGCCAAGACACCTCTCTAAGACGAAGAGTCAGGTCCGGTCTCGAAGGTGACCATCTTAGAGAGATTTGACGGTTGTGTTAATTCTACATGTATATCTTCATTGCTACCGTTAGTTTTTTACATACCCTAAAGGGATCTGCCTTTTCCAACAGACTCTGGATCTTCTCCTTAAGTTGCTGATCCTTGAGTTGCTGCTTGCTTAATTCATTCTGTGCTTTCTCTAACTCCTCCTCGAATACGACACTCTGCAGACATTTATAAACAAAACAACTCTCAGCAATTCTATCACAAGTCAAAATTTCAGGACTTTCAAGGCTTCCAAAATCTGTACCTGTTGTTCTAGATCTTCCAGCTGCTGGGTGTAGTGTTCAACTTCTTCCTCCTGAAAGAAACATGCTAAGTACTTGGCAAACGTTTGAATCAGTGCAGAGAACGATGAGGTGACTATTCCCATAAAACGCAGCTTAGGCGAGTAGGCAAAACTGCGTGCACAAAGGGCTGAACGCGACTTCGGGTGATCAATTTACCACATTAATTGAAGTAAATTGATGAATTATCGGTCAATTAGGTTTTTAGATCAGTGCGCGCCTTCATCATTGATGTCGCGTTGTCTTTGCTTAAGCCTGGTTCTCGTATGCCGCCGATGTATCTGGGACGTAGCCGCCGGTACCGCCTGGGCTACTTCTCGGAAGAATGAGAACATGCGGCGCCAGCTAGAGCCACCACAGAGCTTTACCACCGGCAAACCAACGAAGTTGAACTCGAGTCAACTTCGCAGGTGACCAATGTTGCCGGCCACTTCTGTTCTCATATCGGAACAGTATCCCAGGCAGTAATGGCGGTCATGTCGCAGGTGCATCGGCGGCATGCGAGAACCAGGCTTAAATGTGCCTAAATTTTGCCAGCAGTTGGTTTAGTATGTGTCATTTTTTCTACTTAAGTAAGTAAATAAATAAAATAAACAATATGAGTTTCTGTTGAGTTTTGCGTAGGCACTCAAAGCAATTAAACGGTGTCAAGTTTAAAAAAAGAAAGAAAGAAAGAAAACCAAGCACAATCAATTGGCTCATTAGCGTTTCCTTTTCTTTATTGAAAGACATTGAAACAGCCTTTTTTTCCATTTTGAAACCTACGACTTGAAGTTTACCTTTATGTTTGAACCTACCAATGTTGTGACGTCTGGAAGGTCTTCTTCTTCAAAATTCTCGAGCTCCGTTATTTCCTGCAATGGAATTTCTGTCCCCTCAGAAATGTGATAGTATAAATGAACGAGTCTCAATCATTGGCCTTACACATTACAACCTCAACTGCCTCTGTGGAACCCACGTCCCTAACACCACTTGTTATGTCAACAGTTTTCACAGTCAATTTGACAACTTTGATCTCTAACTTGCGCAAGGGAAGGAGAATTTTCAAACCATACCCAAATGAGCTTAATTAAGACAAACAGGCCAAATAGTGTGCAGAAAACGGGAAAATGTCCTAATGAGTTCAACTCAGCGATGGACTTGGAATTTTTCTGTGTGACATGATGAACAGTTTCATCCACTCAAAACACCTGACCAAATTATTCGGTACGGATAACATATATATATGACACAAATACACAGTGATAGAAAACAGATTTTTATACTTACACCAAGACATTTATTCACAGCCTCCTGTTCTCGAAATGCTTTTGATTTTGACTTGTGAAGCTCTTTCTAAAGTGTGGCAATAATTAAAACAAAACAAACCATAAAAACTCGGACAACACCCAATTTGCCGTAACTTGACAGTGACTTACTTAGGAAGAAAGGGTGAGGCAACCAACAACCTACCGAGTTATCTCTGATTGTTCTGTCAATGTCATTTAGTTCAACCTGACACTGCTGCTGTTGCTGTCTTTTCTGTTCAATCTCTTCCTCAAGGCGCCTGAAAAACCGACAAAGACAATGAACGAAATCACGGTGTTCCAAATGGATTCTACAAACTGCACATTCCTATCTACTCGGTCTCTTCTTCTTCTTCTACGAGTACGCGAATGTCCATCAAAAGATTTGTAGAAATGGGGCATACACATTTCAAAAAACTATTCCCCTAAAAATTTACCACTACTATAATATTTACTGTGACTGTGACCAGACAGTATTTTTCAGAAAATAGTTTAACGAATAGTCAGCTCCCATTGTACCTGATATCTTGCTCAATGTCTTTCTGTAAGTATCTGGCCTGCCTTGCCAAAGAGGCATACGATCTGGCTGTCTTTCCTCCAAAGAGCTGGTCTCCATTCCCTGCATAAGCCTAAAGCAACAACAGAAACGTTTAACCTTAATACTTGTTGTTTTCCATGCAGAGCTATGACAGAGGATGCTGAGAGGAATAAATGCCACTGATGGGTATCAAAAAAGCTGTTGTTGACTAATGTTTGTGTTGTTACAATGAGTTAGTAATCCTTTCATTTCTAGGCAAGTTATGACAGGACAATTTGTCAATCTATCTTTTAAATCGGTGGATAAAATCCTATGGTGTTACCGTTCCAATGAAACCTCTTCAGCAATACTTTCACAGGGTACTATTTACTTAGTCTGTAGTTCTAACAGTTTAGTATGTGGGCTAAATCCTGGTGTCCTTCGACGGCAGTTTTTTAATGTTAAACAGGAAGCCTTAGGCCACTAAGAATTCAAGGATAATGGCCTGACTGGCCACTATGTACTGGAGTTAATAGGGACTTTAAGATAGGCCACTACGGTAGGCTGGGACGGTTGGATGCCTATATGGGCGGCCTGGGGCCATGACGGTAAGAAGGCGCGAAAATTTTCAATTTAAGATCGGACAACAAAACAGAGGACGGTGAAGTCATGTGCGAAACTCGCTTGTAATTTCTTTCGTAGAGGGCTCAATTACTGAAGAAGAGTTTCTTATTTTATACGAAGAATACCAGTCAAAAGAATACGGTACAAATTAAAGCTATCTAGTTTTCAAAACTAGTCGATGTTTTTATTTGAACTTTCCTTTCCTAAGCCAACACTTTTTCAGTTAAAGAAATCTTTTCTTGATAAAAATACAGTTTTAAGTTAAAAAAAGACGGCTACAATCATCACCGTTAGGGCCAGTTCAAACGTTGAATTTCTCATGTGCCGAAACTAATGGACAAATTACTAAAATTTATTTTCACTTGTTTACATGTGAAGCCTTCCAGACCACTGAACATCGTGAAAATGAATCGAGTTCGACCAATCAGTTCGACGTCGGAATCAACCTCGAACTTATATCATTTGGGTCGACCTAAATAGGTATTAAGTTCGGTACATGAAAAGATCGACGTTTGAACTGGGCTTTACCTTTCTTTTCAGCAATTTTCCTCTGCCATGGCGGACGCCTCTAGGAAAAAAACAAGCAGTCGCCACGTGGCCGCGAGCTAAGCCTGAACTCTGACATTTTCGCTTTTTTTTTTCATTTCACCGATAGCTAAATCAATGTAAACACAAGCCAACACATATTTAACCCATTGGCTACTCAGTTTTAGAAGAAAAGCGACAATACGTATGCATGAACTCTTATCGGTTTCACCGTTGTCTTCACGACGAGAAACCCGGCGAAAACATACCGTCCCAGAAGGACGACGGTAAAAGGTCACGCGTGTTTTGCTTGACGTGACATCTATCCAACCGTCACAAGCGACCGTAGTGACCTATCTTGAAGTCCCTAATAAAGAACTTAAGCAACGAAGACGACGGTGGCGAAAACGTCTCTTAAAAAGTGCCTTCATGCTGCAAAATTCATCGCTCTTATTCGATGACATTCATTTTGTCGAACGTTGGTGAACTTTTCTTCTGGAGTTGAATTCTAAATGACTGTACCCAAGTTTAAAAAAGAATTAGAAAATCGTTGTCTTGTGTTTATGTCCTCCAGAAAGAGTGAAATTGGGCGTCGTGGTCGCGCAAGGACGCTACAGAAATGTATAGAAAAGCGAGAAGCGCGTGCAAAGTTGTTGTTTTGCTAATCTAAACCTATCGATTTATTGCCGTTCTCTGACATCATCATCGTTGGTTAAGCTCCTCACTTTTAAGACGTGAACAAAACGGGAAGTCCTGAAAACTTTAAAGGCAATAAAATTCTCTGCTCTCTAATTGTACAAATTAAAGCCAAGACTCACCATCCTTGCTTTTGCTGGAGGTTTATGAAACATAACTTCACGGGCTACTTTAGGATCTTCTATAAGCAATACTGACTCAATACCAGCCTGGGAAAACATATGGAGCAATTAATTGATCCATTTGTTGGATCCAACCAGCAAATTAAATTATGAACCCTCTTGGTGAATCAAAATAAGCTGTCGGTCATCTTATCTTTCAATAACTTTTCGCCTTGCCGAGCCTATTTTCATTGTGTGCTGGCAAAATTCCAAAACTCAAAACCAGAAATACATGTCTGCCACTCTTAACTTTCAAAGCGGCTGCTTCTACTTCCAAACCTTACAAAATCACTGCCTGGGGACAATAACAGTTCACACAACGAAAAGAGAAAGAAATTGCAGAACTGTCACAGGAAACAAACATGAAAACTGTGTAAATTACGGAGCTGCAGTAATAGTCGATCATTGGATAATGAGCAATTCAAATAGGCCCAAGACGACCAAATTTTAACTGAGGTCAGACATGATGTCCAGAGAAAGTTAATACCAAAGACCGAAAATTACCAGAGAGACTTTGTTGAAGTGAACACAAGGCAGAAATCAAACTAGCTGCAAATCCCGAGTCTACTTTGCAAAAATGTCATTTAACCGAATGATGCATCCTTGATTGAGTCCAAACACATTTTAGTTTTGTCCAACACATGTCATTTAATAAAAAAAGAAAAAATTATCTGCAGCTCTATAACTAACTTCCCACTAAAAACACTTAGCAGCCCCTACTCCTCGACTCCAGCCTATGCCACATTCATCCAGGGGTTTCCATAAGCACCAACGACTGATGAAATGTGTCAGCTACCTTGCTCACAAAAGTAGCTACTTTAAGTTTTGAAAGAAGAAGCAAGTTTATTTTATAATTTTGTAAAGAAAAAATATATCATAAGATCTTAAGGAAACATTACGATGTGTTTTCATAGAGGCGTACTTGTTTTATGTTCTGCTTTAGTTATGTGAACACGTTTCTTTATAGGATTCATGCCGGATGTGTCCATGTGTAAATGTATGTAATTCAATTACCATCTGTTAACTGCTTGAGTTGATTGTATTGCTGATAAGGGACGGACCTTTAGAAAAGTTATGGGGGGAGGAGCGGGGCATTTTCGAGCAGCGTGAATTTCTTTTCTTTAATGTTTCCCTTGAATGAATATTTTTTTTGGTCAAGATGCAGTGCGCGAAGATTTTTCCTTGAAGTAACACTAAACTAAAACAATATTAAATCGTTCAGTTGTTCACTTAGCCAAGGGCATAATTTAAACATAGGCTACCTGGGAACGAATGCGAAAGTAAATTGATACATATCTAAGGTACAGTTCACAATGGCCTTTTATACACAAGGTATCCTGTATTGTACGTACATTGGTACTGCGCAATTTCATGTTGCTTTGCTGAAATTTTACATGTAAACAGCATTACGAACAACCAGTCGCGGCAGGAATGTTTCAGGCTCAAACATGAAAGTTGCCAGTGTTAGTTCATCACAGGCCACAAAAGAAGGCATTCTTATGATATAATAAAAAGAGTGTATTGACAATAATAATTATAAAGTCTGTTGTGGCGTTCTTAAAGGATACCTAAAATAATTTATGTCCAACCACTATAAAAGATCTGATGCAATATAAACACAGTGAGATAGGAGAAAGCCAGTAGGAGTAGATAGGACATTTGCTGCACATTTTTTTTAAGTCCCTGGCCTTTATTGTGCCTCTCCCATAGTCCATCATAGTAATTGCAGGTGCCATTGATGGTTACAGCTCCTCTATGTTGTATAAGCTTACAAGCCTCAGATATATTTTTTTGCATCAGGTATGATTATTTACAATAGAGAGTTTTGGATCCGAGTTTACCGCGAACCTCTAACCGCGGTTTGCGGTTACCCGTTTGCGGTTCGACGTTCAAACATAATTCGATTTAGATTGGCGGTGGATTAAACAAGTGGATTCTGGTTTATTATGCCATTTAGAAATAGAAGAAAAATTAATCAGTGAAAATAAAAGAAATTTACGGCAACACTGGGTTATCTAGCAGCAAAGAGCTGTAAATTCTTACATTAGTTCTTCTTGCAATTTTACGGCCGCCATTTTGAATCAGCAGCCATGAATGGCACTTGTTTTCAAGATCCAATAGGATTTATCAAATTTAGCATTTCGCCCGAATTTGTGCCTCTGTTAATGTATAAAGACTTGCTCCACAAGATTTTTGTATCATTACGTGGGATGAAACAATAATTATACGCTAAAAGCTTTCAGGTAAATGACATACGTGAAAACTCAGCTCCCCACGTTGAAAACGCACGTTGTAAACCTCAAACGTGACGCGAAAGACTTGTCACGAGACCTCCAGCGGTTAGAGGTTCGCGGTAAACTCGGATCTAAAACTCTCTAATACCAAAATTCAACGGGAAGTTTATTCAAAGAGCTGATGTTTTTCACACAGTATTCTTTCCTGCCTGCCTTCCTGAGATTGGTGCAAAATGTGTGGAGGGCCAATGCAGGATTTTTTTTCCTGGTCTACTCTGCACGCATGAATTCTTTTCACTTAATTTTTCCTTGCATGAATTTTTTTTGTACTTCGCCCACCCCCCCATAACTTTTCTAATGGCCTGTCCCTAAATCAAAACTTAAACGAAACCTTCATTTTCCTTAACAAAAAACAGGCTCTTTTGTACTCCCCTTCGTCCCTCAGAACTTTGGAAATCGCTTTTACTTCTTTGAAACTTCAAACTTTTCTGGGGGAGCATACCCCGAGACCCACCTTGAAAAAGGGAACTAATGAATCCTTGTTGATACTGACAGTTGGTGACTCTATTAAAACCTGCTGGCTATTTTAATTTTTCCTGAAAACCCTCCTCAACCAACACAGAGCTTTTCAGGAGTAGAAGGGAAATTTTCAAGGAGTATTGCAGGGTCATGGAAAGTGGCAAATTACAATGTTTCTGAGTTTTTAAAGAACAGTATCAACCTTGGAAAAAAAAGTTTTGAAAATTAATGAGAACCTTAACAAAAACACTAGCATACCTGATCAATAAGGCAGTTAGATACAACAGGACTGTCAATTAACAGCATGTCAAGCACAGTTGGAAACTCACACCTCGGCTTCTGCAAACAAAATATAGGGGAAAATACACTCTTTAATTCTTACCCGCAAATGAGTTGATTTTCTACAAAAGATTAACACAAAGTTGTTATGATAAAGAAAGTGGTGCTTACATTGGCAGAGACATCATGAACGTCATTCTGCAGAAAAAATAAAAAGTTCATTATTCCAGGGCTCAAATTACAAAATCGGTATCACGGAAAACTACCACTGGTTTCAGGGAGAAATCGGTCTGCCGGTAGACTGGAACTGGTAGTGCATGAGTAATGTTTGTGATTTTGAATCAAATGTGTATTAATTTTTATCAACATGAAGTGTACCCTCAAATAACGAGATATGACAAGACCCAGTCACTATGTAAACACGATACGAAATCCAAAAGTCATTTCGGTATGAAACTCGTGCAGGTGCGAGTTTTCTCATGTAAACACCCCTTTAGTCAGAAAAACCAGAAAAGTTGCGGCACACACATAAAGTTGACTTAAACTTTGGCTTTTGCCAATTGTTGTTATGCAAAACTTAAGCTACAAAATGACAGTCTGGTCATTAAGTCCAAATACATCTGTACAGGTGAGATTTCTCAAGATGAATTTTTCATGTTTGAACTTTGAATGTTGCTCACTCTCTGAGACAAAGGGTTTGCACTGCAGGTTTAACAATAAGTACTAGGTTTTAGGATGTGATGTAATCTCAGTAGACAAACCAGAAATCTGCTGACAACAATGGGAGGTACATTATCTTTCGGGCACACTTGGAAGAACAGCTGCTTCAGTACTTGCTGGTCATGATTGTCATGACAGCAGTAAGCCCAGCCAAGCTTCTTGAGACATGACTCCACAGGTATAGCCCATCTTTGATCTTTGAGAGATATATGAACCCCTAAAATACCAAACAAAACAAAGACATAAAACCAATAGACATGCCTAATGTTAATGAAGACAGTGATGATGATACAAAAAAAATTATAACAAGTACCAAACATCAAACATGCGTTACAAAGCTATAATGTCATGAGAACATTAGCCCTTTGTACATTATGCTAGAAATTTTATTTTTTTGCAGTTTGATGAGGTAAAAAAATAATAATAATAAATAATAATAATAAAAGCATCAAGCATTATTTGAGTATCTTGAAACTGGAAATTAAAAAAAAAACGAAAAACAGGAAATAAAAGTCACCCCAATACAACCACCTAGACAAGAACTTTTTGCTGTATGGCCTATTAACTTGTATACATTTTTGTTATAACAGTTAAACATGTAAGTTTTTGTTAGCGTTAAAACATGGTTGAAAAGTTTAAAACTGGTAAAAAATAACAATTTGGATGATGAGCATTATCCAAGCATTTTAGTGACTTTTTTTTTTTTTTTTTTTTTTTTTTTTTTGGAAGGGGGGGACAAGCACTTCAGAGGGACAAATGGAGCATCAAGGCAGAGCCTTTCAGTGGGAAAACAATAGCATAACATAAGGTACAAAAGCCCAGGGAACATGATTGTAACTGCAATTTCCAACAGAAAGAATGTGCTACTTCCGTGAATAAGCATACCCAAGATTTGAAAGGTCACAAATTCAAATAAAATTGCAAAGAAAAAACGCCCTATATGATATAGGCCACTTGCACTTAGAGGTCATGTGACCAAACAATGAGTTGGAATCCTGCTGATGCCAAAAATTGACAGAGCACATAAAAAAATATACCCGAAAATTGAGAGGAAAAGCATTTAAGGGAGATATTTTGTGGCACTTTGATTTTTCAACAAAGTAGTATGATTTGCATTGGCCGCCATGTTGGAGGGCATACCATTGCCCTCCAACATGGCGGCCAAAACTACTTTTTGCTTACGTCTTGTTAAACTTTTGATAGTTACACTCAGATGTGCTACAAACGTTACCACATCATTTTTTTTCAACATTCTCCTTGAAGTTTAGTGACAAATTAGTGTTGAGAAAGAGGTGATTCGTAATTTTCAAAATCACATTTTGGTCACGTGACCACCTATGAACTTATTTGTTTTAAGAAAATGGTGCAGGTTTGAAAAACCAAATCACTTTTACTTTGTTTAGGGTATGACCCACTAATCGTTTTTCGAAGGCAAAATCATATAACTTTCATTTTCGTAAAAACGATGTCACATGACCTTTTAGTGAAAATGGCCTACTCAATACTGTAATAAATAAAGTCCAATAATCACGGTCAACAAAAAGATACATTTGTCTATTAGATATACACAATTTGGACTAACCAGCAGGTAGCTAGTGGAAATCTGGGCAGGTCATGCCTTAAATGAATATTCTAGCAAGCAAAGTAGAGTAATGCTCATATTGATCCAAAATGCAGGCAGCGTTTTTGCGTTAGTGACTTCTGGCAAAGATTAGTATTTACAAGAAGTAGGTTATTCCCCTCTACAAAGTTGTAAGCAGAACATGAAAGTGATTCCATACCAATGGGTCCCACAGGAGCATGATGAAAGCGCCCTCTCCTTGCTGCTTGCTCAATTCTTTGATGAAGATCAGGCTGCCAGGAGCCAAACAAGGTAAGCCTGTTTTGACGGCTTCCTTGCAGATCTCTTAGCTGTCGCTGGAGTGCACCCACTCTGTTTGTAGCATCAGTCAAGTCTGTCCTACAAGTACAGAGTAGAAATAACAAGGGAAGGATCCAAGTAAGACAATTTTTGCCAAAGTAATGATTATGTTTTGGTCACAGATCATGACTTCCCAACAACACAAGGATAAGCTTAAGCATTGACAACAACAACATTCTAAAAATACCACATGAAGTGAATTTGCCATCTTTCAAATTGTACCACAATTACTTCAACTTGTTAAATTAGTCAAATGAAGGCAAGTTCTTCTAAATTTGGAGGACTGTATACAAGTTCAGAATGAATGTAACCTCTTGCTCTTCCAGCTGAGTTACAGAATTGCTTCATAGTAGATTGCCAAATGACCGTTTACATGTATTACACCTTCATCAAGGAGACACACATGGGATCCTCACTACTGTTTCTATTTTCTATTTTGCTAAACTAATATTTTCAGGTTCTTTCAATTTAATTTTGTATGGTTCAATAAAAACTCAAAAGATGGTGACAAAGCTTCTTACATTAAGGGCTGGTGTCAAAGCCAGCTGATTTTGAGGGACAATATTAGATTGAAGTTAGCATCAAGAAATTCCTATGTAAGAGGTCAGCAAATCAAGGTAGAATATTTGTTAACCTGTTGACAAGTGTCAGGTCTTCTGAAAGCCCTGCATAAATTTATTATCACCTCGTCCTTCACAAACTGTTAATGTAGCAGTAGGGAGGCCAACAAAGGCGGCATTGAGCAAAAGCCAGTTATTGGAAAAGGCCCAACATGTTGTGAATCTACTATACCATGAATATATACCTGCCAACCTTTTTACATTTATAGGCGTGAACTTTTTTATCTTAAGAGTGCCAAGATTTTTCGTAGGGGTCTGACAATATCTGAAGATGTCCGAAGACTTCCGAAGATGTTACGAAGAGTTCCGTCTAACAAAAGAGAATCCTCAGAAACTCGATCATCCACATAGACTTTTCTTTTCTCTCTTTGGTTCTGGTTTGTTTAAATAATTAATATATTTTTCAAAATATGTTAGTTAATGCTGTAATGGCTCAAACTTTTCTACCAGGCGTGACAAATCGGAACACAGGCATGAGTAGGCGTGAGATCCAAGTTTTCGATCTGCAGGCGTGACAGTTGGCAGGTATATAAAGCAAATAACTCACTTTTGGTAGGAAAACTTCAAAACTTCCCACAGCAAACATATCATGAGTGAGCTGTACCTTAGCTGGTATGTCTTTTCTTTTGCTCTTGTTATGGCCTGTTCAAGTTGGGCACGGTGGTGGTTTGTGGTTGAGAGTTGACTCTGACGTGCTTTCAGATCATCACGCTTTTGTTGAAGAACTTCTTCTCTTTGCCGCCTTTCTGACTCAATGTCACGCATAGCTCTGTATTAAACAAGAAGAAATGCTATCACTAATTGACAACAATCAAAATAGTTTTCCAGGAATTACTACAAGTCCCGTGAACAATTGCAACCATAATGCAACGTAGGCCTAGCTCGAAAAAATATGGGCATCGGTGAGCATCGGTATTGTTGTGTAACATTCAAAATATAAGGATTTGGATGGGAAAAAACATATCATTTCTGTAACCTACGAAAATGAAAGGATTTCAATAAAAAACAGCTTACCTCCCTTAAAATCCGTGTTACGTCTCTCCTCTGTCGTCCATGGGACGTTTTATGGGTTTTTATGTAAACGGTTTTCTCAACCTTGGTAAACCTTTACAATTTATAGAGAGAAAACCATTTACACAAAATCCCATAAAACGGCCATAAATCGGCCTGTGGACCACACAGGAGAGACGTAACACATTTTGAAGTACGGTAAGCTGTTTTTTTATTGAAATCCTTTCAATTTCGTAGGTTACAGAAACGATAGGTTTTTTTTCCCCATACAAATCCTTATATTGTGAATGCTATGCAACAATGCCGATGCTTGTTCAAGCTTGGGCTACCTGTGATTGGGACCACTTACGTTTGTTTTATCTCCATGATTCTCTCCTTCAATTGACTTTGGTCATTCTCTGCTGTCTTCTTTTCTTGCATTAATTTTCTTAGTCTTGACTGAAATAAAAATGAACAGCACAAAGGTTAAGACAAATAATATTTCTCCCATACTAAATTAGCATAATTATGATCTGTGGATTGACAGCTAAATGTAGGCAGAACACTCATCAGCCCAAATAGCACCACAACTATTTAAGAATTTGCCTGGCCTTTAAGAAAACAATGCTATAAGCTACCCTCTGATTGAAAATTATCCCTGTGTTGCTACATAATTATATAACATGTTTATCACTTTCAATTTCTGTTCTCAAAATTTCATCTTATTCCTCGCCACAAGCAACATGTTCAGAGTGACCTGCAAACTCAAATAGATTTAAAGCACAACAACTGCAAATAAGCTTATAACTGCATTAACAACCAGGGCATGGCTTTGCATGCCTATTCTTAATCACACACCTATTGCACTTTTGAAGGCAACCAAATAAGGAGACACATTTGAAGTTTTTGAAACTCAAACTTTAGGGAACTTAAGCACCAGACGTTCTTGGTACCACAATGCCAACCGGAAGTATTTTTGCAGCATGACAGCCACTGTGCATGTCAAGACGTTCTTGAGTCATGGTCACAGACTTCAAAATGCGAGTTCTCAGGTTGAAACCAGGGGTTCATATTCTGGGTTCTTCGAGGAGTATTCGTCATACAAAAGTAGAAATTCTTCGTCTGAAATCATATTTTCTTCATAAGAAAGAAACAAAACTTTCACGCAAAATTAATCTTTGAAAGACATTTTTTTTGTTGGAGTTCGTGATAGTTTCACGTTTTTTCTGGTGCTTAAGTTTCCTTTTGTTTCCCTCGAACCTCAATGTCTCCCTGAGTGTTTACCTCTGAGCCACCAAGTGTTTGATGTTGAAACAATGAGAGGCAAGTGCAGAACATACTTTCTGTCAAAACCCTCCCCAAAAATTATTCATGGTACTCCAATATAGAACAAAACATTTCCCCATGTTGCCTTTCACTCCTTATGCACTAGCAAACAGATGATCCCATAAAAATAAAACTTACCTGTTTGTCTCTATGGGTGGTTTTCTTTTGTCTCAGTTCTTGGCATATGGCTTGTTGTTCTCCTTGAAGTATTCTACCTTCTTCAGTGATGGCATTCAGCTGCTCATTTACTGATGTCCATTCTTCCTCTAACTTTTTTACCTCCTCCTGAAAATGCAACATGAAATCATTACTATACATGTATTTAACTGCATATAAAAGTTGATCTTTGACAACAAAAATGTCTACTCAACCATTTCTAGACGTTTTGAGGCCAAAAAGTGCCCCTCCCCCAACTTGGAAATTTTTGCAGACATAGGAGCCTGAAATTAACTATTTGATAAAGGCATCATCTGGTGACTAACAAAAGTCCTTGGGCACCACATAGCAAATGAAGGTGACAAAAAATTTTCTCTTTTTCTTTACTTATATTACTCTTGAGGAAATTTTCAAGCAACAGAGTACAGTGTATATACAATGTAAATAATTAAAAACATGCGTAAGTGTAATTTGTTCCCTCAGACCACTGAACCAATAATGCAGCTACAGTGGGTCCCCTAGTTGTCGGCACACTGACATTGAAGTTCAGTACCAGTCCTTTGTGTGCAATGCTGACCCTCATCATTAGACACATCAGAGTGCAAAGAATTTCGTGTCCAATAGCCCGGGCTAGTGGATTTTGCAATTGGGCTAGTGATTTTTGTTCTTAACTTGCCTGACGGGCAAGTGCTGTAAACAATCCTGCTAATCAAAAAGGGTTTTAGGGCTAGTTGAAATGACTTGTGGGTTAGTACATGCTAGTTATAGCTCTGCGAATGACTGGCTGTAAAACTGACTTTCTTTGCACCCTGAGACACATGAAGAAATTAGGTTTGCTGGTGAAAGAGTGATGCAAACAACATATTGCAAAAACAAATGCAAAAATGCCTCATCCCTCACCTCACAAGTTTGGACTTTCTCATCATATCTGGGCAGTTTAGTTTTATGATTTTCCTCTTCTCTTGCCAGAGGACCTAGTTTCTAAAGTGTACCAAGAAAGTAGTCAATAAGAAAGAAAATAAAGTGTGGCATGAGATGATCAACAATACCCACATTTAATGTAAGGAAAATGCATGTTGTAATTGTTCCCTCAGCCCACCAAACAAACACTGCAGTTTGGTGGGTCCCTTAATTGTCGGCACACTAACAATGCAATGCAATGCCAGTCCTGTGTGCGCAAGGATGATCTCATCACTGGGAACTTTATGGTTTACTGAAAACTTGTAGTAAACAGGCTGTCGCAAAAGTTTGTTCCTCTACTTCATACAGTAAGTCGGTATTTCAGTGCGATTGGACTTCATAAGCAAATCATTTAAACAAAAGTTGTGCCTTTCAATCTAATTCACTATTTTCATACTTGTTGTGCTATCTTTTGTCTCGAATATTCAATTTGTGTACTTCCGCGCCAAACGTGCACATGCACGAGTATATTTTCCAGCCACTTTTTTTTTGCATTTTATAGCCTGAATTGCTCGAACTCCTTCCTTGTTTTTGGTGAATATCACAAAAGATAAACCCCCTTAACATAAAAACATCCAGCTACAGTGAGACGATAAACGTGTATACTTCGATTTGCTGGCTTATCTGTTGTAATAACTGCAAAAAAAACTGGGAAAATCCGAATGTTGGGTGGTAAAATGATCATGGAGAAATGAAGGTTTTGAAGGCAAGAAATGAAGGGGAAGACCAAAAGTCCTAAATAAAGCAGCTAAAGTAGTTTTAAAGAAGGCTAGATAGAAAATAGGAGACTCGACGATGAAGCTCTCACACAGTTAGCAAGCCAAGTCCCGAAAGGGGTCATAAAAAACAAATGTTTAAAATTAGAGGCTCCCGAGATGGCAAAAAAAAAATCTGCTTAGACTGTCAAATCGTCTCAAATTTGTAAAGATCTACAAAAGCCTTGCTGTGGAAGGGGGCCAGGATGATTATCTTTTTTGGATGAATGCCCAAAACATTTTTTTTTTTCAGCTGCCTAAAGTAGACAAATATTGTTTGGGGCTTGAACTGGCTCCTGTGCACAAAGTGATAAAAAAGCTCAAAACAGATCATCTGTGGGCCTACACGCCATATCCCGCTCTATGCCACAACGGCTACAGAATGTGATAAAAAAAGGGCATGCCAGGGTTACTGGAATTCTGAATACATGTACTCAATAGAGAAATAAAAACATCTTCTAGAAATTTGATGTAAAAATAAAGTTTTGATCAAAAGTTATGGTGCATGAAATTGGAGGAATGAACTTTTGGGACACCCTGCACTTTTCAGATTATGCTGTCAAGATGAAACAAAAATAGGAAACTCAGCTTACAGAAGGTTATTTTGTTTTTTACACCCTGAAGCTCTTTAAGAAAGCCAAAAATGGAGTTAGTTTCTTCTTAAAAAGAAAACACACTTTTGTTGCCCATCAAGCAAATTGACATGACAAAACTGTTTCTATTCACAAAGAATAACTGATTTTTTTTCTCTGATTTACCTTCTCAGCATCTATGACTTCTGCCCATACTCGTTCTTTTTTCAGTTCTTCTACTTGCTCTTTCATAGTTTTCAACTGTGCTATGTCTTTGTACTTCTCCTCCAACTGTTGAACCTGACGCAGCATAGGAGGAAGTGTCTGTTGAAACAAAATAAACAGCAGCATAACATCAACACTGTTATGTTAGAAGTTACCTGCATACATTTTAAGCCTAAACTAAATATCTGTCTGAAGTATAGTAGCCCTTCACGATATGACAATGATCTGGCAATCATCATAACTATTAATTTTTACAGAATATCTTTATCAGAAACTTCTTGTGGCTGATGATCACTTGATTACATTATTATTAACCAAGAATGTTGCAGAGGCACAGGTGAAAACAGGACATTAGAATTGAAATTATCAGACATACATGTAATATGAGGCTTCGCATCTTACTTTTGCAAGATGCTGAGCCATTTTTATCATGCCCCATCTGGAAATGAGCTCTTATTGTGTGCAGGTACATGTAGCTTAGTTAGAAAAAAATTGTTTTGTATCGAATGCTCCCTGTCAATAGTTATTCAAGGAAGGCAAGGGAGACTTCCTAAAAGAAGAAAACTGGTGTTGCATCTACATATTAATTAGTCACATTTCTATAAGAAAGACCTCTGCGGCATGAGTTTCACGGGGCAAACCTTTGAACGGCCAATGAATATACTGTAGATTTTTACATGCATGTTTTCTTCACTTATGACAAAATGATAGGCAGATATCCTATACAGCACATACCTCTTGTTTTCTGTCCAAAGTACTTTTGATAATATCCTGTTGCTCAATGATCAGCTGATAATCTGTACTCATCTGCTCTAGCTGGGTGGCTTTTAAGAAAAACTAGAAGAAAAGAACACAAAAATTAATATTGAAATTAGGTAACAAGTACATGTCACAGATCGTAAAAAAATGCACATTCCCTGTCCATTCTAACAGGACTTTAAGGCTTGGTCTGTTTGCTCCACCAACTTCTCTACATTGTTCAGTTCGCTCTTCTTACATTGATGGTTAATTCTTACACAAAACAAAAAACGCTTGGGTAAATCACCTTTAACTTCCTTGAGCTATGATTTACAATTTGTCTTGAACAACCAAAAAGCATGAAAAGTGGAAAAAATTCAATGACTTCCCCTAAAATTCAAAGACTTTTCACGACTGTAGAAACCCTGTGCACAGTAATACATCTAAGAAAAGGTGGTGGGGTATGGGACACCACTTTCTGCTGACACATTTCCACCACAGCACTGAATAGTACACTACATACCTTATACTTATCCTTTGGATCTGATGAATTAAGGAAATTCCTGCTAGTATCTTGATTTAACACCGACACAGGATTGTCAACCTAAAAAAACAAGTGAGGTTTTATTGGGCTGCTGACTTGGGAAGTTTAGATTATAATTATTACACTTATACCAGCTACTCCTAACGTAACAAAGGAGTCTAACTGCTTTCATAACCATGCCACGTTAACAACTCTTGTTTTGGATAGTAAAATTGACAAATTTGTTGGGGGAAATCTTGAGCATTACTCTTGTCTGGCATGCTAAATGGTAGAATGTGATAAAAAATACAAGTGTCTATTTCTTACAAGTTTGTGCCAATAGATATGAACATTTCATCTTTTTTAGATACAATGTACATGTACATGTATTAGCATCTACTTTATAAGCAGTGTCCACTTAATAAGCGTTACATTTACAGTAAGGGATGTAAATTTAGGGACTTTGGCTAATGTCTGCTTAATAGAAGGTGTACGCTTAATACAGGTTTCACTGTAGCATTTACAGCATAAGATATACAGTTGACTCCCGATAACTCGAACCTTCACAGGAAATCGAAAAAAGGTTCGAGTTATCGGGAGTTCGAGTTATCAAGAGTTCGAAGAAAACAGCCGAGAGTATGGTAAAAAACAGTTTTTACTGCACAGTGAACATTTTAATCACATTTAATTGTAGAAATGTCAAGTGAAAATTAAAAGATACTTCTAGATTATAAAACAGAATGTAACGTAACAATACATAGCCTAAATAGAACATGCATTTACTGTTTTGAGAAGAAAAGGTGCTTCACGTTAGCCTGTGACAATCAAAATCAGCCTCCACTAGTAAACCATACTCCTACAACACGTCAATAGGAAATCCAAAATTCAATGTTTGGGACGCCCGTAGACAGCGTTTTCCCGACTTTTTAAGGGTTCAAAACATGGTTCGAGTTATCGAGGGTAAAATCATATAGAAAATGAGCTGAAGGGAAACGAAAATTTGTTCAAGTTAGCGGGAGTTCTAGTTACCGAGGGTTCGAGTTACCGAGGGTAAAATTACAGTGAATGTATGATGGAAATCCAGGGGAAATCGATTTTGGTTCGAGTTAGTGCGAGATTCGAGTTATCAGGAGTCGACTGTACAGGACTCTTGTCTGACAACAGTTGCATTAATAATTGTGATCTTGTTACTCCAGCTCAGCTCACCTGAATGTTAAACTGGTCTAAAATGTGATTAAGCTCATCTTTTTTTTGAGACACCACTTTCCCTGCAGCAAGATAATTCAATAGATTAGCTAAAATTAATTATTTATGATTATCAATAATGTAACATTTGACAAGGAGACAAAGTACATTGAGAATCAAACTGCGATAAAACCATTTTAACCTGATCTTTATGTTGTTGTACAGCATCATGGAACTGTATGACACATTTTCTTAATGTTTACACTGTGCACTGAAAACATTTTTCTTGAATGATAGAAAACTCACTTAAAGATTTACTTACACTTACTTTAAAACACAAAAGTAAACCTACTTACATGTAAGTACAAGGTACACTGTATATGAAAATTAAGAAAATTTAAGGAAGGAAAAACAAAAGTGTTCCAAATCAATTTCCAAATCATCATCAATATTAAGGTACTTTGTCACCAATGGTCATAACTCCGTTAAAATTAAGTAACAGTATCATTATTCATTCAAATGATTTCGCCATTTCTGATTGGCTAAAATGCAACGCATAATTCATCATAACCAACTATGGTCAACCAAATGTGGAAGAATTTTGCGATATGTGGAAAAAAAACGTCCAAAGTGCAGCAAATTGCCAGACTATTGAACCATTAACTGAGAAGACCTGGGGAAGAGGTTGGGTTGTTTTGGTAGTGAGTACAAAATGGCAGAACATTTGACTTATTTCAAGAATAAGAAATAGGTGAACTATTTGCCAAAAACATTGCAATAACGGCAAGAAGACGACTAAACAGATGACACCTGCTATTTGGAGAATAATGCGGAGCTAAACTAAACTTGCCGATTAACATGCACTTTCAAAAATGAACTTAAAATCCATTGAGGTAAGCATGTTTTAGCTTGTTTTTAAACTTGGAATTAATTTGAATGAACCAATAAAACAATTATTTAATTCAGCTTCCATATTATCTGAAAAATTATCTCAGCCTCATTCATTGTAAATTATTTTTTTTAGAAGCCATCGTTATGGAAGGCATAGGGAAGTCTCATTCATTGGAAATGACATTTTCAACAAAATTGATATTCAAGAGGCATTAATAATTTTATTACAGAGTGGATGTTGTTAAGGTCATTTACAGTAACCACACCTTTGATTAACCAAAAGAAAGAAAGAAAAGAAAATGAACAATATCCAAGTTACCATCTTTTGCCTTTAGCTTGTAAGATCCACTGCCGTCACTACTTATCCTTCTTTCCACAGTTATACAATCTCCATACTCTTTAGGCTTGTAAGCATCTTGGCCTCGGTTTCGTAATTTGATTGAAACCTGGGCATAACTAGCAAGCAAAAAACAACCAAATTAAATAACTCTCTATTGTAAATTCCCTTTGACTCACAGGCAGCTAATAAGTAGCACTGATACCTATTAATACTGTACTAATAAAAATTATTAACAGTGCAGGGTTGTCACTAAGATTTCAAGTTGCCGGGTAAATACAACAAATAGGCAGGGGATCAAACGGCTAGGGATTTCTTTTGGTTCTATTTTTCGTCTATTTTCCAATAAAAGTAGCCGGGAGCCACTCCCTTAGTAGCCAGGGAAATCCCCGGCCCCGGGCTCTTAATGACAACCCTGCACTGAAATGTAAAAATTATCTTAGGCTGTCTAGTTATTGTACAACTCTAAGATGTCACCATGGCCAATTCAATCAGAGACTGAAAAGTTTTCTTAGTCTAGAGACACTGCTACTGCCAAGTACTTTTCAGAAGGAAAGCAACAATACATTGTATCATTGGGATGTGTAAAGAGCAACCTTGATAAGGCTCTGAAAGACATGTCTGTTGAAGCAGAGTGCTGCAGCTACACCTTGCAAAAGACAGCTGTTCTCGCCTCCACATATATCTTGCAAAAACTTTTAATCTGCTAAGCTTAGTGAACTCGCAGTACTCCCTTTAGTGGATTTCCATATCCAATACAGCAAACATGCACACAAACTGTGATATTTGAACATAGTAATAATAATAATGCTAATAATAATAATAATAATAATAATAATAATAATAATAATAATAGTGATAATAGATCATTGGGAAGTGTGACAAAGAACTAGGATAAGTGGATGGAAAAGTTGGACATACATGTAAGAATTTGTTGTATTTCATTACTCCAAAAACACTACAGCAAGGATTTTAAGGAAAGTTTTAGACTACGGAGATGACCTCTAAGGGGCCTTTGGTCATGTTTTATGACTCACTCCCTTAGCAAATAAATTGGTATGAGATCAGCCAGTGCACAAAATATGCAAATGACCGGATGTTGAATTTTTCGCTCATACGGAGTGTGTTTTCCTGCGGTGCTGGCTGAGAATACCCAGAAAATACCAGAGAACAGGAGAGGATCACAATAAAAATAATAATAATAACAGGGATGATAGTTTTGGATCTACATATATTGCTAATGTCTATAAACCTGCACTTGTCCTTGACAAATCCCTTGAGAGAACTTCCTCTGTTTGTTGTGGCAGCCTTTCCTCCTAAGCCCACCACCAATGCAGTCATTATTGCACTTTTTCCACCTAGAGTGAATACAATCATTGAGCTTGAGATGGACAAGGCCATAACTGATAACCAAGTAAAACTGGCCTAACAAACTAAAAACTAGGAAAATGTATTCTTATCCCTGATAGATTTACAGTTGTACCATCAAGAACTCAATTAGGAGATTTCCATGTGTCGATCACTAACACTATTGGCAAGGTTATTTTGCAAAAAACCAAATGGCCACCAGACACCACATGACTCTGGAGTTAAGACAAGTTAGTGATTAGGGTTATTATAGAATGAATCAACTTCCAGTTCAATTTGCTCTCACTCAGTTTCCTAACCCTCACCACCAAGAAACTTTTGGCAATCAGCAGTGTTTAAAATTCTGCAACATGACCCAGCTAATATAGGTATAACATGAAAAAAAATATCTGTGAACACTGTGGGAGGGACGGTAGCTTTATAGGATTATTAAAACCCTTTACATTATGTCCAACTTCAGTAGGCAGTGGTTGAATAAAATTTAAAAAAAATCTATGGCCCAACCTCAGCAGGGAGACACCTCCCATAAACAGAAACTTACATATAGCAATGGTCTCAACCTCATGAATCCTACCCATCAAGAGACCCTGGTTGGGTCTGGTCACGTGTCTCCCAGAATCTGGGAGTCGGAGATTAAGAACAAGCAATTAAGGGGAGGGGTGGATAAGTGTGAGATTTGTCTCTACAAAGTGTAGACGGGTCAGCAGAAACTGTGTACCTGACCTTGTCTAAAAGGTAATGTGTTATAGTTCCCGGACTAGTCAAGACAAACCCTTAAATGCCAAATCCTTTGACAGCGAAAACGTAACGTCCTGCTGGTTGTTTATCAGATGTTGCAAAGGAAATCGCAGATTCACCACTTTTGCAGTCAAAAATATTTCATGCAGTTGAATTCATACCAAAATGCACTAGATTTGATTTGCCATATTTATGTTGTGGAGGCCACTTTAGAAAGCAAATGTATGTATTTTCAAGACTGTGATTATACAGTTCGAAGGGGTGCCGAGGAGATGTATCAAGGTGTCTGTTACAGAAGGTCAGTCTATACAGTTTTGTAAATATATTTCTTTATCTAGGTACTGTCTATGGAGCAATGCTTTTGTAGCTCCCTTAAAAGATTGCCTGAGAAAATCCATCTATGAAATTAGACACTTACATGCACAATACCATACACACTACAACACTATACTCTCTAAATAAAAGGCCCAGTTATCTACATGACTCACTTCCATTTCTCCCAATAATAAAGTTAACATTTGCACCCAGATTAACTTCCAGCATGGTGTGGCACATAAAATTCATCAGGGTTATCTTCTCAATGATCCCAACTTCTGCTTCAGACTGCATGAAAAGTAGAACACTGGAATTAGTTTTCATAGAATGAAGAATTACTAAGCCATGAAAGTCACAGGTTCCTAAGGAAAGCTACCTTGGCCTTCAGCCTCCTTCATCGACAAAATATTCTTAATTCATATCATGCCCAGCCTCATCCAATGCTACATGTAAATTTACGCTTGATGTCTGCTTGAACTTATCTGAGCATTGCTAGCAAAAACCAGGGGTTCTTTCCAGCCACAGAAGCCCATTTGTGACCACCACCTTGTTGGAGACTGTGTTAAACTCACAAGCAATTTTTTGGAAAATTCATTTTTTTGGTTGATCTGCCATTACGAAATTCTTCCTTTTTGTTTTAGCCAGCAAGAAACGAAAAGGTTACAACAACAACAACATTTATTATTTATAGTGCACCTTTTCAATATAAATGATCAAAAGTGCATTAAAATTAAAATTTTAAAAACAATAATAAATTAACAAAACTATCAACTAGTCATATGTAAAAATCCTCCCAGCATTCATGCCTCAGATGTGCAGATGTCATTTTGAATGATAAGAAACGAAATAAAAACAAAACTATGACTGCCCATAAGTAACACTCACCGGCAAACATTGAAAATGGCAGGAAAAGATCCCCTACTGTGCAAATGGAACAGGACTTTCTGTTCTAACCAGTTGCAATAGAAAATGTGAAATACCTTGGAAGCTCTTCCATTTGTGCTGGAAAATTTCCGGTCGAACTGAGGGTTCACTTTGCAATTAACCGGTCAAACGGGAAATTTTGCCTTAATGGAGGGGCCAGGTTTTAAGAACTACCGTAAAATTCCAAAAATAAGCCCCTCTATATATAAGCCCCTTAATCCGGTAACGCAAAAAACAAAGCAAAAACAGTAAATTTACTTCCAACTATAAGGCTAGCCCAATCGATTTTGAAACGCAAATTTCCCTCCGTAGATAAACCCCTCCGAATATAAGCCCCTCCAAAAAAAAGCCCCTCAAAAAGGGCCTTTGAAAAATAAAAGCCCCAGGGCTTATTTTTGGAATTTTACGGTATTTTACTGTCAGTAATAAAGAACATACATGCTTTCTACTGTTGATCCAAGCAGTATCAAAGATATCACATATCACAAACAAATCAAATAATAATTATTGAACTTGACAGAAATCTTCTCTTAACTAAGAAACTACTCTACAAAATGTGAACAGTTCTAATTCTTACTCCAATCGTGTTATCTGCAAAGCGCATATCCCATCACGGCGGATACGAAAGATAAGTGCCCAAAATTTCCCATCTGGACTCCGATAATGTACTTTTTTTTCTTTTCCAAAACGCAACATTGAGTTTTACATGAGCTTTATCATACTGTAACGACAAGCACAGATCTTGAATGGATAACGATCGTTAGTCGATACGAAGAAATTACCTTCCCACTGAATACTCCTCTTAGCTTTTAAGTCTTTTAAGGAACTGCAAACCTGATCTACATTCTGACAGAGCTCTAGTGCTGAAGTGAACGAAGGTGAGCCAGGTTCAGGGGAGGAGCACAATCGCTCAAGTGACTTACCGCTGTCGACACGACAAAATCTGGAGCTTGCGAACAATCGAGTTCTTCGTTTTCACCCATATCCTCCGTCTCATCATGATCTTCAACCGATGAAACTCTCTTTTTCTTGGGCCGTGAGGATTCACGATCGTCCTGCATTTCGATATCTTCTTGCTCATCCTCGCTATCTGATTGCAACCTTCGCTTTCTCGCCATTACGCTTCACTCGTCGTCTTTAAATACACAAATAAAACCGAAACTTGTTAAATTGAAACGTTGTAAAAATTTGTACACGTTAAATACAGATATTTCAGGTAAAATTATAACGATTTCTGGCTCAAAATAAGAGTAAAATGCAAGTTAAAATCCACCCAAGCATTCGCGCGAAAAGACACATTCAAAATGGCGCCAAAGCAACGCGCACGTGACTATGTTGTCATGTGGCCCCATTGCTTCACGGGAGAACTCGACCGAGGGCCCAAGCGAGAGAAAGAACTAGCACAACGCCTGGTCACTTTTTTTTGTTTCTTTGATCATGGACAAGGTGATCTCCTGGCCATGGACCGCTTTTGTTTCAACTGACTCCGCTGGTAAATAGACGAGCAGAGAAGAAAAGAAAAAAATGTTCTCCTTTGGTATCAGTAGTCCGCGAAAGAGGAAAGCGCAGTGTAGTGAGGACACAAGGAGGCTAATCGATTGTGTCGAGCCTTAGAATGACTGGAGAAGGAAAAGGAGCCGAAAATAGGTTCGGGCACTGTTATCGGTCTAGGGAGAGGTTAGCCTCCCACGCAGACGTTCTTAAGGGTTCGTCACGAACTCCTAAGAACGTTTGCGTGGGAGGCTAGGGAGAGGTTTCCTTGGATAAATTCTAATGCATCAGTCAATTAAGCTGCACCCGTGCACCACCCCTTAACTCCAAGGATAACTCCCCGGGCATGAGCTTTTTTTTTTTCGTTGGATGGCAAATTCCAGGGACGGGGAAACTTTAAGCTTCCAAACCCTTGGGAAGTGTGGGTGACGCAGTGTAGCCTGTGTACAGACCCCCCCGGGCCCCCCTCTTCTCGCAGGAGTCTACCTGCAAAACTCGACTGTTTGCCGTTCCTGTCTAGCTCATGCAGGAGAGCTTAGTTCGAGACGAGTTTTCAGTGAAAACGGGACCCACAAAACAGAAGATATCCCACAATTTAGCATATTATAAGAAGGACACAAAAGCAGTGCGACAGATGCTGGCCCCCGATTGGGCACAAAAATATTTTTTGGGCCCAATCAGAGACAAGCCTTCGAATGAGTCGTGGCCGAAATGGTTCGATAAGAGTAGCATCTCTCACCCGTTCTTGAAAACTTTCGCCGCCTTTTTAACCAGACTAGATTGACCGCCCCTGGGTATCTGAGGATGCGGATGTGGTATAGTTTTATGTTACAGCCCCGTGATGTACGGAAAAACTCTTCCATTTTGTGACGGTGCTAATCCTCCTGAACTTAAGTGATTGGAGCGGGAAACGAGATTTAGAGATCAGAGAGGGGGAGGTTCTTAACTCTGACTGTTCTGTGTAGCCATTAACATTTAAGATATTCGACAAGGTCCCTTAACAATATTCTTCCCTTGCCCGGAGTCATCTCCCAAGGGATAGCCGATGATAGGTGCATGTAATTATATAAGGTGGTGGACAAAACACTGACCCCCAGTCCATGGACCAGCCCATGGACTACCCATATGGACTTCCCCCGGGGGGGGTACTCCCTAATATGGGCTATATAGGTATGTGCGGCCCCGAAGGGTAGGGTAGGGTTTTCCAGCCGTTTTGGTCATAAATTGGGTATCGATTTTGGCTATTTTGCCGCCATTTTGGTCATAAATAGGGTAACGATTTTTGCACTGTAGTCTTGAATGCACTTTTTTAGAAGAAGCTACTTCCTTATCATGTCCCCTCCTCCCACCCGCGCTTTGCCTTCCTCTCCATCGGCTGCTTTGTAGGTCATAAATAGGGTAGGGAAAATCGCAGAGTTTGGTCATAAATAGGGTAAGGGTTTTGGGAAGCGGGCCGCACACCCCTACCCAATTTTTCTGCGAGTACCCCCCCCCCCCCGGGGACTTCCCTGAATTGGACTACGCCGCTGAAGTTTAGAGTTTAGGGTTAGTAAACTGAGTGCATCATAGCTTGCGTAGCAAGCGTTTCTGTACGGTTTAGGTAAAAAGAACGAGGAACAAAAGTCAAAGACCGCGAGAAAAGTGGCGCAAGTAAAAGAGCGGGAAGGGGGTGGGGAAGAAAGGAAGGAAACGCTTGCAGACAAACCCCGGGGTTTTGAAAACCACCCACTTGGCCTGTCACGCCTGAGTTCGCGCACCGACATTTGATGCTGTCATCAACTGTCATAATTGACCAACAAAATGTTTGGCCTTCCGTGGAGCGGAAATGAGCTTTAGAGGACGCGTTTGTGGAACGCGTGGACGGCGTTAATGGTGAAATCTCAATGAATCCGAACGATCAATGCAGGCTTTGTACATTTGTCTTCTTAATCCGTCTAAAAGGAAGGACCGCAAGGGTGAATGAAGTTTTGAAGTTTTAGCTCCAAACCTCCAGAACGGTTAGATTGAAGTGATAAAATGTGACAAGCATTCAAGTCTAGTATTTTCGATCTGCGACGCGTATTTGTACAAGGTCAAAGCTCAGCTAGACAGAACGGCTTACCGTTCTCGCCACGGCAGACAACTAGACTGCTCTTGTAAAAGCATCTAAGAACCAAGGTCACCCGGCAACTGATGAAGTTCGCGTCACAATGCAGGTCCTTCCCCTCCCCCTCCCCCCTCTTTCACTTTTTGGCTCTCGTTTCATTTCTCGCGCGGTCAAAACCGAAAGTCCCCTTCCTCTGCCCTCCTCGGTAATTTCTTTGCTCCGAAACCAAAGGGAAACGCTTGCTACGCAGGCTGAGTGCATCATAGTTTCAGGTCTGTTTTCCCAGTATAATGTCCCTGAACGGAACTTCCTAGCCTAATCACTAAACTTCAGCGGCGTAGTCCATTTTAGGGTTGTCCATGGACTGAGGGTCAGTGGTTGTTTACCATTTACAAAAAATTTCCGGCAAATCCAGTTGGAAAGTAGATGGAACACGACTATTTGGGTCTTCCCAACGGAAAATTTCCGGCAGCATCGGAACATCTGAAAAGGTAGTCCTGTTTCTCCGGATGGAATATTCCAAACGGAAATTCATGTTCCATTTCTTCAAAGCTCTTCAAAGCCATCTTTGATACCAGTTTCAGGCCTTCACGGCCGTTTTCCGGTAATGTATCGGTCAAATCGAAGCTTCAACATTCCCCCCGGGCATACCCCGGGCATTTGACACCTTTGCCGTCCCGGGGAGGAGGGAATTTGATCATCAAAGTCTTCCAGGGGGTGGGGAATTTGATCCCCATGCTTTAGGGGTGGGGAATTTGAACTCCACCCTCGATTTCATGTAAAATCTTTGCCGTGGCGAGCTATCATGGGGGACGCGGTGTTGGAGGATTTTCGTGGAAAAGATTGTGCCTTTGTGGTCAATTGGTTACGAGGAAAGGGCTTAAACAAGCTTTTTGCCGTATTTGAAGTATTTAAATTTTAAAATTTTTAATATTGGATTCAGGCTTTGAATGTATGAATGCATTTTATCGTTGTGTTTACAATGAAGTACAATACCTATACCGGCGATTCAGTGCAACAACATAAAATGAAATAAAATAAAATAAAACGGTCAACTACTTTGACCTACTGCAAGTATGTTAATTAAGAAGGTGAGTGATGATGCATGTCGGTGAAATGGTCTCAATAGGTGGGATCTTTTTTTTATAGAACGCTTTGTATGTTGCATGACGAAGAAAAGCTGAGCATTCAGTGACCTTGAAGCAGCGATTTCCGCCGCTTTGCACGAGACTTGTTCGTAGTAAATACGCTAGCAGTGTTGCTCAGTTTTTGTTATATTTCTAAAGATTTTGTTCGACAACTGAAGGCGTTTCCGCCGTCCTTCTGTCATTTTTGTGCCCGTGAAATGTTCCCGGGGGTGGGGACATTTGATCACCTGAATGGACCCTAGTGTGGGGCATTTGAACGGCATTTTGGCCCGGGTAGGGGGGAATTTGAACAATAATTTTCAAAAAAGTCAAATGCCCGGGGGGTTGCCCGGGGGGGCATGTTGAAGCTTCGATTTGACCGATACATAAATGGAACTGATTTCTACAAATGGTAAACGCGATTTCGGGACAAACTTGAACCAGGGGCGGATCTAGTGTGAGATGACCTGCGGTTTTCTAATACAACTGGTATTCTGCAAAAAAAAAAAGTGTGGTTTATTGGCCGGTTGAAGTAGAGCAAGAGACGAGAGCACCCCCTCCTAAAAAAATCCTGGATCCGCCCAAGTGAACTTTGCGAACTATTTACTCAAACCGTGAACCGACCAGTTTGCCCGTGTAAATGATAAACAACCAGTGTTCTGTTCACCACCTCTAGCTTCGGTTGACTTAGTATAGAAAACAACACGACTTGAAATGTCCACACTCAACAGAAATGGCGCTAAAATCCTAAAATCCCTGGAAATAAAATATGAGACCGCATCGAACATTGCATCATGGGAAGACTCGAACGCCTGGTGAAAATTCGACAATCGTTGGCGTAAAAGCGTAAAATTTCCTTTCTTTCTTACTTTTTTGTTATTTTAATGGTTTGATTTTATCAAGAAATACAACAGCAAACAATAATGGAAGGGGATATTTGGGCGAATTTCGGCTCTGTGGCCACAAATAGTCAGGTAAAAATTTTTTTCTAACTTACGAGGTTCAGCAACTTCTACATTTTGTGTATATATAGTATTAGTAAGTTGAAATTAGCAAGGTAAGCTTAAATGGTACCAAAAGTCACAGAAATATGAAAGAAAATCATGTTTATTGGCTGACCGAGCATAGCTTTAACGACTATAGTCGTTTTAGGCTATGACTTTGTCCCAATGCCAATGTACCTAAGACAAACATGTTAAGACACACATGGACATCTTAACACAAAGATAATATAATCTTGAGAAATAGATAAGTCTTATCTGAACAAGCAGTAACCGATGGTTAGGAAATGCAGTTTACCTAAGGGATGCAATTATTGATGAGAATTGCTTTCACATGTGTACGTTAATCAAAGTTAAAGAGCCATTTATCTAGTTCCAGAGAAAATAAATGGAATCGTGGTAGGTTATAAATGTGGAATTGTGGAGAACACAGTAAATAAGACTAATATATTTGAAGTCAACGATTTTTTTTATAGTTGCTGAGGTATAGTTAACCATGTGAAAGATGAGGAGGGAGGAGAGATGGCTGAAGAATATGAGGAAGATTTTGGGAAAACCTCGATAAACTGACCAAGAATAGTCTGTGGGCTGACTTTCGTTCACCTTCAATAAATCAGTCGAACTTTTTTTTATACTTTTTACACTTATAAGACTTGGTCTTGGATTGACGTGAAGTTTAAATAATTATGATATTACTTCACTAGTCTCACTCTGCTTGATCATGTAGATAGCTTTGGATTATTATGGTTATTTTACACTCTAACGTCTCTGTTTCAGAATGCCAGCATTGATGATGATGATGACTGGGCTGATTTTGGTGGTTTTGAGGTAAAGCACCCTCTCTCTAAGAGTCAAATAATTTATGCCATAAGACTGTATTGTTGCAGGAGTTCTGACCCCTTCCCCTATGTAACGAATGACTGTTTTTTTTTTTTTTAAAAAACTCAACTGGTTGGGCACCAGACTTCAGATCAACAAACCCTGGACCTTTAATTCCTTGATGGACCAAACCCCAGAGTCAAAGTAACTGAGGAGAAGGTGCTCCTGTTTTTCACATGTCCAAATAGTTTGACCGTCTATATTGTCTCAAATTAGGATGAAAAACTTGTAGGCCCCATCTTACAATGCTTTCACTTAATCTGAACCACAAGGAGCAGAACAAAAAGCAAGCTAAAGCTAAAGCAGAACTTTTGGATCAGTCACTTGGGTGCTTGACTTAAAATACTGTAAAAATCCAAACAAAAGCTCCTCCAGGGCTTATATTTTTCAAAGGCCCTTTTGGAGGGGCTTATATTTAAAGGGGTGCTTTAACCCATTCGCTCCTGGAGATTTTGCCGAAAAACGCGTTTTGAAGCTAGTCGAGTGGTTTTCTGGTCACTGTCGTGCTATAAAGAGCTAAAACTTACCGTAAACCGGTTTACAGGTCGTACACTTGGCGGCCTTCTGATCCAGATGCAAAATATCAGCTTGCGAAGTTCGGGCATGCGCAGAAAGCAAAATTTCGACATAGTTTTTGGGTTTAAAAGTGACACAGCAGTCTTGACTTTTACTTTTCACTTTCTCTCCTCCCTTCTTTTTTCGCTTTTCTTGCCTCATTTTTTTTTCTCTTGCTGGGCATTTAGTAGGCTTCATTTTGGTGGGAAGGGTTTTTAGGAAAGCTTTTAGGATCTTAGGATTAGGTGAAAGGAAAGGTAGGTGGGTAATGGAACAAGATTTTCATGGAGATTTTCAGGTCCTTGTCACGTGGTTTTTTGCTTCTTTCTCCGGTGTCCTTGACTGAATTGTGCTCATTCTGGTATGGTTTGAAAGATCTCCTCACTCTGCACAAGTTGGCGAAGAAAGTTGTCCTTGACCGTTAAAACTGATGACGTCACAAAGGGTAGAAAGGACCTGGATCCACAAGGGCGGTTACGGGCGGTTCAGGGGCGAATGGGTTAATGGAGGGTATTTTGCATTATGAGTTTTGGGGGCTACATGCAAGGGCTTATTTTTGGAACTTTTTGGTAATTAATTGTTATTACATCATAGCAGTTACCCCGGAAAAATCTCCAAAGGATTATTCACACTTAAAGTTCGGCTTCCCTCCCTGATAACTTGAAAACTAAGTTGGTGACCCCAGATATTAATTTTTATGAAGCTGATTTTTTGCAAAAGTGGAAAATGGGACATCTGTGCACTGCAAATTTCCTTTTGTATTTTTTTTCATTACTATTATTTCTCTCTGACGTCTCTTCTCAACTCTAATAAAACATTTAGTTACCCCCTCTTTTTATTGCTCTAACTGGAGTTTTTTGTCTTGAAAAATGCTTTAATTGAGATTTCAAAGATTCCTGCATACCTTTTTGCATAATGATCACAGGTTACTCATTTACTGTCTTGAATTCCACTGTCTGTTGCACACGTACACTGTACACTTGCAAAAGGCTGTGCCCTAAGAAAAATTCCAAGGAGCCCAATGCTCTGAACCTGGGAAATCCAGGGTGCCCAGCATAGGAGTTCTATGTAAAAACTGAGATTTAATTCCTAGTCACCCAAGAGCAAAGATAAGGTGCCAGGGGCCACCAGGAACTGCTAGAGTACCTGCAACCCCGCTTGTAGTAGCCAATATATATACCACTTTTCAACCACCTGTTTTTAATCCTAACAGTATTCTTTTGGCCTAAACATTAAAAAACCACTCAGACATTGACTGTCATTTTATCATCTTATTTTTCCGCGAACTGCGGAAAGACAAATTTAAATGAAGATATGATCATTGCAGTGGTAATTGCAATTTAAGTAATTGCAAATTAACTTGAAAAAAAAATCCAGGACTTCAACGTGATTCAAACCCATGGCCCCTCTGGAAGAGCAGAGGCCATGGGCTCAAATCCTGTTAAAGTCTTGAAAACTTTTTTTGCGGGATAATTTGCAATTGCTTAAATTGCAATCACCACTGCGACAATCATATCTTCATTTAAATTTTAATGGCATGAGGAAACTAATAAAGAGGCAGGAGTAATTAATTTGATGACTTCTCTGGTTTGTTTGTTTCTCCCAATTTTTGTCATGATTGCATGGTCACTATAAATCAAGATTCCTGAGATATATCAGGTGCCCATGGTTTTCTGAGTTTTAGAGTGAAATGATTATTCCTTTCTCATTATTTAAGTTACATATTTTGATGTTTCCTTAGTCTGCTACACCAGCTGTGAATGGCAGTAGCCAATCAGGATCTGTGATACAATGGGCAACAGTTGGAGTCCCACCTCCTGGAGAATCGAGTCATGCAACTTCTTCGCCACACCCTGTGTCATCATTTACACCTCCCTTTTTAACCTCAGCAGCTACGGAAAGTACAAAAACCTCCAATTTGCCAATGCCAAATCCCCAAGACCATTCAGACTTCATTAACTCTTTTCTTTCAAGTGATGAGGATTTTTCTGCTCCAGTGACATCTGAATCATCACATGCAACAGCTACTGAGGATGATAAAACAGAATATGATAGCTTTCATGCTGATTTCTCATCATTCCTAAGTGAGGCACTTAGTGAAACTTATCAGCCATTTTCAAGTGCATCTCAGTTTGGTGACGTAAAGGCAGGCTCTAGTACTGATAATACTAGTAAGGCACCTGGGAGCTTGGTTTCTATGAAAACAAAAAATGAGGCAAATGGTGAAGATGTTGGCATCACAGCAGTACTGAAACAGTCACAAGAGAGTGCGCCTGATACATTTGATGGACCAGAAAACGAAGTTTCCACAGCTCAAGATATATTATTGGTAAATTTGCAGAAGTATTCAATTATTTTGAAGGTCCTTACATAGTATTATGACAATAGTTGGGCAAAAGGTCCATTAATTTGACAGTAGTGTTTTTTGTTAAATATGAGACAATGTAGATTAAAGCTATACTTGTCAAGGATTCTTCATGAGATTATAGGACTTAAAAAGCTACTTGAAATGTTCATTTTGTCTTATCTTTCATCTTAAGCTGTCAGATTAACACTTTGTTTTAGATTTGTTTCATTTGCCATACTTTATGCAGTGCTAATAGTACAGACCAATCCTACTGTTTTTCGTAGACTTTGAGGAGATTTGTGTATACAGTGTATCTTCAAACATGCATGCATTCAGGGTGAAAATAATATAGAGTTTGATTTAATTTTAGAGGGAAGCAGATACCAGTAACAATGTGACAACTGGTAAACCCACAGCCTGCAAATCCTTGAACTGTAATGAGCACGCCCTGGAAACTAATAATTATTGCGCTATCCACTGGATAGTGTGATTTATCCGGACCTTTCAAATAACTGGGGCCAGATTAGAATAATGCAAGTAATAACCAGTACATATGGAAGTCTTGGGTTTTGTGTGGTTGTGGACAACAACAATTAATGTAATCTAAATCACAAGTGAATGTTGGAATCTGCAAAGAAACCAGTACTACTATAGCCACCATAGTGACAAAGTAGTGTACTAGCTGGCCCATCAGCTAAAATTGAATGTTATAATCGCCCCCCACTACCAAACTCCCTTGTATTTACTCTTAATTGCTCTATATATTCATAAAGTTTTTGCCATCATTTCTTCTTTAATAGGTGTCTCAGAAGCAGCCTAGTGCAGTGCTTGATATTAAGTCAGCAGGCAGCAACCACAAAGAATTATCTCAGCAACTTCTAGTTGCTGCAGAATCTAAGAAGAAACTTGAGGACACAGTGAAAGGATTAGAGGGAAAACTGTCATTTGCTGAACAAGAGAAACTACAACTTCAAAAGGTTTGTGTCATACTGATAAGAAAATATGTTGTTTTTCAGTCTCTTTGAAAGTGTATTTTTGTATGTTTGGTATGTCTTAAGTAGAGAATTCCACCCATTGTCGCCATTTATAACTCCTCTGTGCACAACGGGTCAGTCACACAGGTAAAGGAGACCATGCTACCAGGATTAAATGTCTTACATAAAGTCACGCCATTGCACTAGACAGTGAGAAATGCACCCAGTTTGGGACAAGAAAATCGTAGAAAATTAACATTTTATTATTTAATATTTAATATTTATTTGTTTATAATCACTTCCACCATATGGTGTGGAACACACTACAGAGCGGGGTTCCATTTTAAGCGTGTCCTTACAAATAACCCACCCAGCCAGGGAGAGATTGACCACACCACTGGGGTTTATGTCCCCTACTCTTTTCAAATATTGGGGTGGGTTCTTTTGTGTCCCACAAGAACCATATATCAAGTGAAAGCGCTGTGAGACGAGACCTACCATTTTTCGACTAGAAAGTCTAACCATTTGTAGATGTCATTGCAATGACCTTAAATGAGATTAATTAGTTCCTCGTTTGCCCTGCACTAATGTACATGTATTTTTTGCTTTAGTATTGCATTTTTGTATCACATGACTATAACCAAATGCAAACGGTCTATTAATATAATAAATTATAGGCATTTGTTTATTTTCTCTCTCAAGGACCTTGAGTCACTTTTGCAGAGGAACAAATCCCTTGTTGAAGAATCGGAGAATCTTACAGAGGCTTTGGCTAAGCAGAGAGAGAAGTATGAACAGCTTCAGGTATCATACTGTGATCACAGTTACTGTGATAGTATTCTACAGTAAACTTTGTTAGCAGTAATTACAATGATTAGCCAAGACTGGAATATGGTGCAATGGAAAAGGAGACTTTCATATTAAGTGAAAAAGACCGTTCAATGGAAACGTTAGTTTACATTTTCCCACAGAAGATCACATTTTCTAATTTCATGATATTGGGTTTATCATACCCAAACAAGAAATTAACGTCCCAGTAAAATGACAACATCTTTACTTTCATGACCAAGACATTTGTCTCCTGAGTGTTACCTAGTAAGATATAAACTTCTATTAAAAAGTGACTGATTGAACTGTGTACATTGCAACCCTTTTGACCATCCATCTATGCCTTCTTTCTTCTTTAAAATGGGCCTTAATTTTTCTGTTTAAAATGGTTATTTCATATTTCACTCACTTAAGTAAGTTGGATAAACTGCATCGAATACCTTCTTTTAATTAACGCTTTCACTGAAATAAGAGAAGTCGATCTGCATTTATAATCAAGAGCGTCTTCTTAGTATCTCATCTGGAGCTCAGAAGTTTTTGCGAGCTTTCCAATGTTAGATTTCTCTTCTAAATACATGTTTAACAATTAATTATACACCTATAATCTGGGCCATATTCATCAATTGCAGGATCAGCATAAGAAAGAGATAGAAGAGATTAGAAAAGCTGGCCATGATGCACTGGCAGTCATTGTTGAGGAATATAAGGTAATGTATACCAGTCCTGTAGATTTCGCCAGAGCTTTAAAAGGGAAGCTCCTGTTTCTGCATTTATAAAGTACTTCAGACAATGAACTTGGAACCACTGCAAAGAAATCCACAAATCTATAGTTAACTTTAGGTGGGGGCCATTGACTAGCTGGTGAAAAACACAAACTTGAGCCTGCAATCAATTAAAAGCTAATAACTGGGCAGCAGAAAGCATAACAACGATTGACCTTGATGAGTTGGCACCTGAGCCTGCAATGCATTCATTTGATTCTGGTCGGCTGATACCAAGACTTGACAGCTGTCAATTGACCATAATATGTATGTCTATTAACAAGTTAAATACATGTTTCAGGCTCCCACACCAGCTAGAAAATGTGACATTTCATATTGGTTTCCCTGTGGTGCAGACAGACGGGTGGACGGGTGTGTGGACGGCGTACAGTCATCTGACGACCAAAATTTCTCAAATGCATAGATAACCAAATTTCTTACCCATGGTGCTCTGCTGCGTGCTTCATGCACATGACAATGTGATTTAGCTATGAGCGATCAGAGTCTTGCTCTTAAGAGTAAGCTTCATCCTTTAATAGGAGGTTAATAAAAAGTACAAAATGTACATATTTCATTGCAGGAATTATCAAGAAAAGCTGTATTGGAACAGCAGGAGAAGAATAAAATCCAGATGGAAAGTATTTTGGAAGATCAAAGAAAGAAATTCCAGGAGTTTCTTCAAGAACAGGTAGTTACAAGAGAAGATATTTTATTAGATGGACAAACTGCGCTATCTACTGTACTTTTGTCCTCAAAGCAGGGCTTCTGATTTTTCGCGCGGTCGCGGAGCCGCGAAATTCAGGTAAATCTGCGAAATCCCGCGAAATTTGGTAAAAATCTTATCAAACAGATGCCTGTACAACATATCTGAAACTCATTTCAGTTATTGGGACTATTCACTTGCTGTAAACTTGCAAATTTATCTTGAACAACGTCCCGAAACTACCAGGAGTCGATTATGTTGCGAAAAACTGGGCACTAGCTATGATGTTAAAGGCTTTGCCATTGGTTCATTTCGTGGGCGTATTGTTGTTGAAAGAGAAAATGATGATCTGATCAGCGCAAAACCGACCGATCTCCAGCGAAATTTGCCTTGAAAATAACCACAAAATCGTCCGTGTTTTACCGATTGCTTCTTGGCGAAGCTTGCCCTGAAATTTCCCGCGAAATTCCCGCGAAATTGACTGATTTTTCTGCGAATTTGTCCCTAAAAATCCCGCGGAATTTGACTTTTTTCTCCGCGACCTATCAGAAGCCCTGTAATAAAGGGATTATCATGATGGGAATATTACTATTTTAGGTCATTTCTGTGCTGACGTCATTACTTAGTACCTTTACCCATACAGAAAATGCTCCTGCACAGTTAAGAAGAAAATTATCAATCAAATTCGTCTGGGAGCACTAAACAAATATTTTTGGCCCGAAAGTTTTTTGACGAATTGTGAATATAGGACAATTATTTTTGGAATTCGATTGATGCAATGACATTTTCAAGTTTTTTTAACAGAGCAGCAAATAGCGCGACATAGCCTCTTTTAATTCAATTTGACAGGAGAGAGAAAATAGCATAAATTTGTTTCGTTTGGATGTGTCCGATAGGTCCCTGTTATGTAGCACTTTAGAGATCTATCAGAGATCCTACATTGTTCGCAGTCCCTCATGATTGTTGTGGTTATGAGCATATTAAATACGAGCGAGCAGGGCAAATGCATGACTTCTCCCTTGTTTGTTTGCCTCACTCGCTCGAGTGCGCCATGTGAGACAATCCAGAGGAAGCGTGTTACAGAATGGTCGAGCTTCAATAAAAGGCAATTTTCAGTTTCCCTAAAACTCATTTTTAGTGCAAGTGTGATAGGAGGTTGGGTGTTAGCATGACTTGACAATCTTTTTTGTTTTGGTTGTTGTTGTTGTTTTTTCTTCAGCAAGATAGTTTTGAAAGAAGGATACAGGAGGAGAGGAAAAATAGCACAGAGAAAGCCAATAGTTTATTAGAGGAAGAAAAGAAACAACACAAGGTTTGATGTCTATTTCTATGTGATGCGATGACTCACCATTCTATAAGTGCTTTTGAAAGTGCCATTTTGAACTTGATATGTCAACAGACAGTCAGGTACATCAAGTAGTGGTCTTTCAATGTGTTAAAATAGACTTTCAATGTGGAAAACAAACAGAAGAAAATCAATGTTTAAACTGTGACAGTTTAAGAAGTTTGGTTTTCTCCTGTTTGTTTTCCAGTGAAAAGTCGATTTTAATACTAGTCATGAATTTTTTTGAACATATAGAGTCATAGCTGACTAAAGGTTAAACAAATTCTGGATTGTGATGGGCAAGGTTGCCCACTCCGGTTCAGGATTGCCCCCTCTGTTCCAATATGGAAACACTTTCTCTTCACCATTATGATATTAAAGCCCTTTATTGATCAAGCTTTTGTGGCCAATTTGGCTGGATGTTGGATAAAAAAATTTGCCTCCTTGAAGTTTCATGCTGTTGCTTGTGACTATTCAGTGTTATTTCAGGGCATCTTTTGTCTTTGCCAGGAACAAATCGAATACCATTTGGAAGAAGAAAGATTAAAGAGCAAAGAAGCATTGAAGAAGGCTGTTGAGGTATTGAAAATGACTGAACTTTAGAGTAGCTTAACCGAGCTGTGCCTTGGGCTTCTGTCTTCTGTGAGTGAAGAATTTTTGCAATTTATCGGCGGAATTAACTGGGGTCAGGATGAAACGTCAAACTTCGCATTAGCCACTTAACCCTCGGACGACAAGCGGGGGCAAGGGTGCTGTGGTTGCCACCCTCCCCCTCCCCCTAAGGTTTTTCTGATTTTTTCCTTAGATGATAAAACATCAGCACCTGAAGTTTTCTGTAGCTGTTGGTTTATCCCTAGTGCGCATTTTGAGACAACTTTAGTGATGGTCAGTAACTATGGCGTTATGAGATATGACGTCCTAAGTAGCAGGTGTTCAAGCCATTTTTGAGTGAAAATGCATGTTTCTTCAACTTCTTTCAGGAATAAAAGTAAAGCTTGTGGATAAAGTGATGCAAAGTAATTATTTATGCGTTACTTTACATGTTCAGCGCAAAAAATTAATTCTCACTGTTTTACCTGATTTCTAATTCTTGATAAAATTCAAGATGGCGGCCAAGATGGCAACCATCTTGGTGACGTCACAGACCTCCAGCAGCGCCACCACCCATAAAATATACCTTATCTTGTAGAGAAGATTTACTCTTAAAGATCAAAGGCTTTCAACTGAAGGCAAAAATCGTTTCGAAATACTGCAACATATCAAAAACTCAAGGGGGGTTCATCAACCGCTCCCCCCCCTCCTTGTACCATGGTGGGGTTGTGACTTTGCGTGTACGTCCGAGGGTTAAAACCGGAAGGAAACTGGGTCGAGTGAACTTTCGCAAAGACTTCTGGGGCTGTTACTAGGGACAGAGGGGAGAGGGAAAAAAATTGGCCAATAGTCAGTTCTAAAGTGATGACGTCGTAAAATTTAAAGTTCTGAAATTATGAGATTTGTCAAGATATTCTGAAAGAACAACGTCCAAGACGCATACTTACCATAAACTAGCATTTCGGGGGAAATTGTCTCTTAGATATTACCCCAGTTATGCTCTGATGACTCCATACAAATTCTTCTAAATTTGACTTGGGTCTAAACGTTTAGATGGGTTAATATTATTATTGTGATTATTTTGCGGTTAATTTAAACAGGAATCAAGACAGGAAGGATTGGAAGCTGTAGAAATTGCGAGAAAGGAAGAAAGACATAAATATGAAGAATTTGTTACTGAATACAAGGTGTGAACAGTATGCTGCCATCGTTCAAATTCTTAAAGGGCTACTCATCATCATCATCATCGTTACTATCATCATCATCACCATCAAATCGTTTATTTTTAAAAAAATATGATAAGAATTCCAAGTAAAAGCTTGTGGGGTCGTATTGCAAGGGTAAAAAGTATGAAACTACAATAATTCTCCCAAGAATAATGGCGTGTAAGGAATTAAAGCAAAGTGTATACAAGAATTTTAATCATTTAAAATTATAAACACTATGAATAAATGGCTAATAGCACCAAAAGCCGAACAAGTTAATAGCACTTACAAAATCGTGCTCGGTCTGGGGAGCTGTACAGGATCTCCAGCCCTGAACTGGTGATCCTTTTGGAGCTGTAGAGAACGAATGAACTGAATGGGCGCTATAATCGAGATCGTTAACATGACGATGGCAGTGAAATTGTCACTAAAAAAAAAATTAAATTGCATTCTTTCAAACCGGGTGGGTTTATTTAGCCTCACTTAATTTGACAAATGTGAGCAGGTTTTCATGGTTGTTCAAAGTTGGTCAAAGATTGGGAAACTCGAAGTCAGAAATGAAAGCTTGGAAGCGAATTCAGTAATTTTTGTCGATGAATTGATGAACGGATGTCCTAAAACTTTATCGGTGAAAATGTTTCTGAACAAAAAAGAGAAACCCGAATTAAAATTTAACCAATTGGGCCAAGGTCTGTATCCAAAATCAGAAAGGAAAAGGAAAATTTACGCCCTGTATAACACGTGAAAGTAAGTTTCACGTTGTAAGTCGCGCAGTCGACGTGAAAGAATGTACCAAACGGTGTGTTCCAAGTGTTTAATGTTGTTAAATGTTCATCTTGACGGTCTTGTTGCCGTCGTCATCGTAGTTTTAAGCTTCCAATGTTTAAATATTGTTGTTGGCGAAATAGCGACTATTTAAGGCCGCAGTTTTGACACTGCCCAAGCAATCGACCCCAAAATTTTAAAGCCGTCAACTGGGAACACCCCATATATTTAGCTGTTGTTTTTTTCGTACCGTAGGAGTCAGTGAAATCTTTAACCGATCAGGAAGGGAAGAGGTTACAAACTCTTGTGGAGGCGACAATCAAAGAACAAAAAGAAAGCAATAAAGTAAGTCATTACCATTTCCCATAATACACTCTGTTTGGCTTCCCAAACTCTGTTTACATGAGTTATTGTTTCCAAATGTTCTTGGATGATGCAGTCCTCCCGGGAGTATTTTGTAATCGTAGTTTATGCAAAATTTCGGCGTTAAACAGAGTCTGTTACTGGGGATTAGAAACTACAGAATTGGGCGGGGATTTCGGAGCCTTTCGACTCGTTATTAACAATTCAACATGCCTGTGTGTGTTTTTTTGTTTGTTTGTTTGTTTGTTTTCAACGATAACAGCGGCACACACATACATACAATGACATCTTGTGGCTGGCAAGATGGTGATAACCATGCTGACCAGTTTCGTAAGTTTATAGATTGCTAAGTTTGGGTTGTAAATATTTCACCAGCATTAACTCTCGTGAAAACGAAAAGGAATGCGAAATAACAATGGACGTTTGGCAGGTTGCAAGGTTAGCCCGATTTTTTCATTTTGAGAGAGCTGAAAATTTTACAGCTGCCTGGAAAATAAGACATTTAAAGGCGGGAAAATATGACGTGTGGTTTTCTCTTAAGCCTTGTTTTAAAATAATTATCCAGATTTTTTTATGGCCTTAAACATTTGGGACGATTGAAACGATCGACACGATCTGTGTCATTATTTGGAAACCAGTCGACAGACCAGACCATGTGTAGACCTCAGTTCTATCTAAGCGGTTATGGTCACCCCGATCGTCTGGATCGTCCCACAATTCATCAGAGTTGAACGACGTTTTCCCCCATGGAATCGTCTCGATCGTCTGAACACGATTGTATATGTACAAGTCAATCCAATCTTAATTTGACATGTTCCTGTTTTTACGGAATTTGTAAAGGCGGCATTAGAGGACGCTTTGGCCGAAGAAAGAAAAAGAGGGAAAGAATTTGCTGAGGAAATCAAAGATGAAACCAAGAAAGAAATGCTTCAATACATACGAGCAAAACAAGAGGTTAGAAGTCATGTCTAGTTTCTTGACGTTACAACTTAACTAGCGGACATTTTTTTATTCACACCTTAAGTAACTTTATCCAGAAAGCCCAGTATATTATAGCAATGGGTTGGTTAAGTCATAGTGTGTTTCCTACAAAAAGCCCCTCCCCGAAAATATTTCCATAATTTTAAGGTGCAAATAATTGTCCCTTTTTAGAAAGTCCATACGTCTTCAAAGAGGTCTCCATTTAAGTCGGCTAAGGAAGAAAATTTGTTGCACGTACACAATATTGACTAACTTCTTAGCCTGCGAGAACAGGCGACTTTGAAAAATGCGCTAATAACTTGCGAATACAGCCGTCTCTCCTCGCTCTTCGCAGCTGCGGCCGTAATCGCAGGCTAGCCACTAAGTACTAGGCAGATTCTTCAGATCTTCCGACGGTCATCATGTCCCAACGCAAGTAGGATTTCTCCCAGGACACTTGACATATTTTAGGGTGACATTAGGGCCATTTAGTAAGAGGAAAAATAAGACGCGTCTCACATAAGACGCCAACTTTCCGTATAAACGGCACATTTCGTCTAAAATAAGACGCGACTTAGCTAAGACGCGTCTTATTTTAGAACAGCCCTCAACACCTGTTCTTGGATAAGACGCGTCTTAGCTAAGACGAGAAAAACTTTGTATAAATGACCTTCGCGTCTTACATAAGAGGCGAACGCATAGTACGCATGCGTTCATTTTTGGTGGGAAAATTTTCGCTTGCTCCGCGGCGGACTCGCCGGCTACTGGCAGGGAAAAGTTGTTGACAAATTACAACGCGTTTTCGTTTCCTTGGATTGCCATCTATTCTTTTTCTGTTCTAGACTTTTAAGCTTTATTTGTTTCTTTGCTCAAGTATAATGAGCACACTGACAAAGGCAAAACGAAAAACGTGGTACACCGCTGAAGATAAGGATGTTTTGTTGAAATGCAAGGAGAGGGCAATAGCAGACCTCCTGGAAGACTCACCCGTTTTCATGAAAAAGGTCTTCAAAATATTGCCCCTGCGGCAAATTGCCAAATACGCGAAATTTATACGAGCTGTTTTCGTCTTAGACGAGACATGCTCGTGTAAATGGTACAGTTCGCGTTTTATTTAAGACGCGTCTTATTGTTCCTCGTATAAATGGCCCTACTGGCTGATGACCCACTGTTATTTAAGCCTCTGAAATTTTGAACCTGCACAAATAAAATAGAACACCATGTTTTACTGCTATTTGTTATTATTACTACATAACAATTACAATTTCTATTATTAAATTAAAACTTTTTAGCGCAATGAATTTTCTATAGTGCATGATCAGATACTCCTTACCCCTTTACAGTAAGATAAGTGACTAACAATGTTTAATTAAAAATTTACAAGCAGTTAAGAACACTAAAAAATCAGTAAAAAATAAAATAAAGAACTAAAATACCTTATTACCAATTTTAATGTTTATTTAAAAAGATACGTTTTAAGATGGCATTAAATTTTGAAATTTTATCATCATCATCACCATTATCATTATCATTACTTTATTTCTTAATGTTGTCAATACCTTTTTTGGGTCTTTCTTGCAACAGGCTGACAGAGCTGCCCGACAAAAGCATCTTCATGGTTTGGACTTGTTTTTAGAGAGTGCAAGGGCTCAACTGAAAGCACTTATGGACGACCAAACTGAATTAGATCCAAGCGAAACGTCTGGACTCTAACCTGTCTTAGATTTTTAGCTTACCAACATACGTAACACAAAATAAGCGATAATGTAGGCCTGGTCGTATAGCGTTTTAAATCCGTTCACGTAATAACTGTAAGGAAAGATAGAACATACGTTTTGCTCTTCCAGCCGAGAGGAAATTTGAATGCCCCCCGCCGCCCCTACGGTTGTGCTAGGTGAGAGAGACGCTACCCCTAGGGGAGTGGGGACAGCTGACACTTCAAAATTGACACCTGGGTCCGGGCGACTGTACGCACAGTTGCGGGAATACGATCGGATATCAGCTGTTTTCCGGCAGAAACTGGTATATTTTTGAGGACGGCGTTTTTATACTGGGAAAGAGTTAGTAGTTCTGAAATATGTAGTTAGTTTATAAGAAGATGTAAAATTAACTTTATTATAATAAAATTCGATAACAATTCCGCGTAAATGAACTCGTCCATTGAGCTACAGAGAATATACAGTAATGTGAAAAGATCGTTAATACTGATGAATGCTGATGAAAACCTGCTTCTCACAAGTGCACTGTTCATAGCCTTTTATTTTCTCGTATTTTTTTTTGTCAAGAGTGAATTTCTTTGCCCCCTCGATCTGTAAATAGGAACGATGGAAAGGCTGTTTGTTCAGTGCATGTTTTGTCAAGAGTACTATTGGCGCTTTCATCGTCGTAAGCCAATGATTGGGTATCAGATTCTCAAGCGAAAGATATGATACAGCAAAAAGGCGGGTTAAGAGGTAGAGGTGAGTGGGAAGGAGAGAGTTCCCCAATTTTTCCTATGCCCGATTTTCTCTCCTGACTCAAACTAGAAAGTGCTGCTTTCCAGGACAAGCCTGCAAACCTTTCTTTCGCCCCATGAAAGGAAATCTAAGATTCTTGTCGGATTCTTTTTCAGTGGAATTTGGATTCCGGATTGTAATAGTTATTGGGATCCGGGATCTTTGAGCTGCATTCCCGATTCCAAAGCCCAGAATTCCGAATTGCAAAAGAAAACTTTTGCAAGCCACAAGCGAACTTTTTCCCAGTCCTGAATCCGGATTCCCTCACATGGGGCAATTCAGTTCTTTTTGTGTGTCCTTGGAGTAAATAACGAAGACAATTATACGACTAAAAATAAGTTGAGCGTCAGACTGGGTCGTATAGCAGTTTATCAAATGTTTTTCAGCTTTTAACACGGGCCATCCATAAAGAGGAGAAGTGTGACGTCACGTTACCATGGTAGCACTATTTCTGGATGACAACAAAACCGACGACGACGGCGACGGCAAGGAGATCGGCAAAAAATGATATGTTTATATTAACAAACAACAACTTTGCACGTGCATCACGCTGGTTTTTACATTTCTTTGTCGTCGTTGCAGCACTATGATATGAAAGTTCCAAATTTCACGAGCCTGCTTTATGGAGTAGGTGAACACAACACAAAACTTATCGCTTTCTTTCTTAGATAACAACAGATACGGTCCCAAAGAAAATTTCGCCAAGATTTGCCAAATTAGCCTGAAATTCATCCGATTGCGTCGAGTCGTTTTCGTAATAAAGACTCGAAGTAATCGGATGAAATTCAGGCTATTGCCAAATTAAATAAAATCGAATAAGATCGATGAAGTTTGAAATAGTGCAAATAGACTTTTAAGTGACTTTTTCGGTTTGTTGTCATCCATAAATTTTGCTACCATGGAAACGTGATGTAAAGACTTCTCAGTCCTCTCTATTGAGACTGCTGGAAAGAGAGCCTCAAAATCAGTCAACTTGCCGAGTTTGAGAAGGATACGTCGTAAAATAGCGAGGATATACCTCCACAAAGTCCGAACATGTTTCGCACATGGTTAGCCTCCCACGCAAGCGTTTTTAGGGAGGGAGGGAGGAAATACGACTCCCGTAAAAAAGCCTGCGTGGGAGGCTATTGTCCGGTGGGAGGCACACAAATCGAGCATAGTGATGATATAAAGCTCCTTTAAAATTTCGCGACTTTGCTGAGTCGATTATTATAAGGCTTGTCTTCAATATCTACGCAGGTTAAAGGAGCTGTTTTACGAATTTAGCCAGTTGATAGTGGTAACTGGCTACCTAATTGAGCAAAAAAAAAAAAAAGTTTAAAACAAAGGATTTAGGGGATTTGTCAAGGGATCCGTCCGCCATTGGTGTAAGGAAGATTCTTGCAGTAAAAGTCGCAACTGCATAAAGAAAGCCAAAGAGCGCTGCACCAGTATCTGGAGGGTCGCAGAGGTCAGGGTTTGATCCCTTAGAGCCTGAATTTTTTATGCCTTCTTTTCGCAACTGCATGCACAAGTTGCAACTGCGAGGATCTTCCTTCTTCCTTCCATTTATTTCGTCATTCCGGGTTCAACTAAATGAAATTCATATATTCATGATTTCAAAAATCACTGGCCTAGAACCCGTCGGCTTCATTAAAAATATGAAGGAGGTTTTTCAACTTAATTGGCCGGTGAAAAATGAAGGACTTTTATATATCTATCTAAACTGCAAAGACCTGCTGTCTAAATAAACTATTCAAAAATAGATTCATTTGCATGGAAAGATTGGACCCTTGTGACACCTATGGGCCAACTTATTATTATTATTATTCTTTCGCGGATATCTGCAGATTGTGGGGTGCGTTCCAAGAATATTCGCTAGTCACAAGGTGACAGCAAAACCGCTACGAAAAATTGTGGTAAGTAAGCAATAAACGACGTCGGGTTGTCCATTCAGAAATAATAACGGTGCTTAATTTGAATTTGTATTCTATACATCCTTTAAAATTGCACATAGGACATTACGCCCAGCTGCGATGCAGATTAAGAAACTTAATGTGCTTAAGAACTAGCTATATGAAAAATGAATTGACAATTTCTAGACGGGCTCAAAAAGCGGCCAGGCAAAGTCTAATGCTTTTAAGTTAAAAAATTAAGAAAACGGAACATACTTGAGCAATTGCAACGGCATGATTGTGTTTTTCATTTTTTGTATATCTCTCAACGCGGCAAATAAATAAACCTACTTGGAAAGAAATACTGAAGATATATATTCGCGAAAATAAATAGAGTTTTATGCTGTTTTAGACATGAGTAATTAGTGACAAGAACACATAATGCACCGTCCTTGCCGTGTTAGGTTAGCAGCGAAAAAGACAAGGGAGGGGAAATGAGGGCGTTTTATTCCACTATCCTGCTCTAAATGTCCTTATAAAAGTTTTTGTTTTTGTTTTTCTATTTATTATTATCATTTTTTCCTACACCTTTTTGGTTTAAGTTAGTCACTTTAACTTCCAAATTTAAATGTTCTAGTCGCTGAAATAAGTACTCGTGCGTGACAATCCATACAGTAGTGATAACTGACAACGGTTGTTGGAACGTCCTGATCCTTACGAAAAGAAAAGCAAGGGATGACCCTTTCTCTCGCCAGTCCTCGCCCGTTGTTTTCGCTCGCTCGCTTTGTCTTGTTGGTGCAAGTCTTCTTCGTACAAGTCTTGTTCGTCTTATCCGTACTTGTCTACGGTTCTTTTTGTCCTTGGCTAGAATATCTCGTTTGAGTTTCCACTTTGACAACGGTTTCTTGCTAGATCCAAATTCAACTTAGGGGTAATATAGCCAGCTGCAGGCAAACAAGGGCCCCTTCCACCTGGTTTCAAAAGCACCTCTTGGAGTTGGCATGGGATTTTCACCTTGTTGCATTTCATTTGAATTATTTGTTTTATACATTTACTCGTCCTCGAAAACCTCAAAGTTGTCAAGACTGTCGAGGTAAATAAGGGTTCATTTGTTTATTTTGTCGATCCCGCCCACACTAAGTTTGTAGAATGAAACTGTATTCTTTGACTTCAGAGAGAAATAAAGTTTACTTTCCCCTCGAGAGGACCTTAGGAAGTATACCTTATCGGTTAGGTAAACAAAACCTAAGAGTGAAATGGTAGGTTAAAAAAAAAATCTGCATAATCGGGAGAGGCGCCAGATAACTCGATCTCAAAAGGAGTGTACCATACAGCCCGGTCCCTCTACGTTCTCTCTTTTCCCGTTGTCCGTGCGAAGTCTGGGAAAGAGTGGGAGAGTTGAACTTAGACGTCACAGGTCACTGTAGTGTCCAGGTTTGACTAAGCCGAGAACCCCTGGGGACTAGGCTTGAAACATTAGAAAAAATCAAAAGGAGGTGTGGTTTCGGAGGCCAATGAAAATAGAGGTTTCCGAGGCCTTCGTTTCTCCAGAGGACGCAATTGGGGTCAGTGGATGGAAGCAAAAACTAGAAAGAAGTCACCCAAGACGGCAATCTAATATCATTATCATTATTACTTATAGTTGGAGTCTCGGTGCAGGCATTAGCCCCATTTGTCCTTGTCATACTTATTATTGATATTGGATTGGCTTTTATTTTACGCTTTTTTCCCCCTCCAACTTGGCGGGTAATGAGAGTAAATTACAGGGTGATGCGAGTATATTGGCATCTTGACGCCCTTAGAATTTTCCCGTTTCAAAGGTACCGGCTTTACAAATTAGGGTGACGAATGGTCTTTGTGAGCATTCGCGAGCATGCTGAGCACTGCAATTTTTCTGCGAGCTCGAGCAGAGGTAAAAAATTTGCTTTGCGAGCAGCGAGCAGTTTAGAGAGTATAACTCGCGAGCAGCGAGCACTTCTTATATTTTCCGCTTGCAGCAATTCATATGGAAATCCTTTTCTTTAAAATAAAACAGAAAATATTTTGAAACGGGGTTTTAATTTAGAGCGCACCATGTTCTTGGAAGCTAGTTTGAATGACACCTCATCGAGATCTAACCAATTTCAGTCACTTTTGATGCCAAATGACGTCACATTTTCTCTTCACTTCATCACGCACGTGTTCGTACGGATCAGAAAGCAAAGGTCACAAGAAGAACAACCATATACACCATATATAGCTGGATTAGCTAATTAGTATTTATCGTTGTCGTTTATCGAGTGCATTTCAACTGAACTTGATAGCCATATTATAGGAATTAAGCACCATACAGAATTACATTTATTTTAACCCAAAGAAGGATTTACAAAATTTTGAGCAATACTAACAAGAAAGCGAGTATGCGTGCAACTGCAAACATTTTGGGAGCACGAGCCAGCGAGCAAGCGAGCAAGCGAGCACTCGTTTAAATTTTGCGAGCAAATCGAGCAAAGGTAAAATTTTGCGAGCAGTTG